GGTGCGACATAATCAATAACATTAAGGCTACTTTGCGAACCAGAAACTTGTCGATAGGACCATATATTGAGAAAATTGGCCTTTGGATCATCCGATAGATGATTGGTGAAATTGGTGAAAAATTTGATTTGGGCTTTGGCCGTGCTGGTTGGATAGGTCATGATTCCTCCCCATAACTTTTCAAAAGGGAATGACTCCAGGTCATAGCAAGTTACGATACCGAAATTATTACCTCCTCCTTTCAATCCGACGAAAAGATCTAAATTCGATGTGGCATTCACATTGATAATTGAACCGTTACCAACCACAAGCTCGAAGTTGATAACAGTATCCGCCACGAACCCTTTTTGGGGCGCAAACCATGAGTAACCACCTACAACCAAATCCATGTAAGTTATCTCCACAGTTTATACTCTGCTCTGAAGGCAACTTACCTCCAATAACTAACCCGCCGATTCCAACCAGAGATGCTCTACCGCTAGAGACCATCATACCCTTAGTTTCCAGATACTCATAAATTTGTCCCCACTTCAATCCTGCGCCAACGTGTGCGATTCCGGCATTTTTATCCACCGATATAGTATTGAGTTTAGCCAGATCAATGGTGACTCCATCATTGATTAATGCCGCTCCAGCAAATGGTGTATGACCGCCTCCCTTAACTGAAAATTGACACCGCCATCGAGTAAGAGTCCTCACCACTGCAGCCACATGTTCTCTAGTAGTTGGTTGTAGAACACAAGTTGATTTGTCATCGCGTGCTTGGCCAGACCAAAAGCCGTAAATGGTGGCATTATAAGCTTTACTATTCGGTGCAGCAGTGATATTGGATTTTAATATAGAACACTGAGATCATCCAGTCAATTCTACAGCCGAAATAGTTGATGGATTCCAACTTACACATTCACTTGAAGAAGCTGCTCTTGTGAAACCCAAGGTTACTATAATTAACGCAGCTCGTAGAAGCAACATTTTTCGAAAGACGACTGTTATGAGAGGCAAAGATTGGGAAATGTTGTTAAGAACACCAATATAATACTCCATATGCACTGGCATGTGTCATCCTTAACACACCCAACTTTGTATCAAAGATTTTCGTGTCATTTATCCGGTAGCAAATGGGTGAGTGTATTTTGAAGCTGCCCCTCATCAGCAGTGGAACTCAAATACCCCATTAGCTTGCTCGTGCATCCTTTTCCTGAAGCCCGGCCAGCTCATATATCATATTCAAACTCTTGAACATTATTCATCCTTGAGAAAATAAGCAGAACATCACGGCAACTATACTGTGACGATCATAGATAAGTATTCACTAGCAGTTCACCTTCTCAAAATCGAATCGAAATCACAACTCCGTAGTCTGATCACGACATTCCCGCTAATACTAACAAGGCAGACGTGACCGGCAGAATTTGATAATTGTGAATTGCCCCACATACACCGCCCACGTGCCAAAATTGCATAATCCACGTTTTGTTGCACATCTGAATTGATGAGTCGTTGTAAAAATTTACACTTCAGTTCAGGCAGGCCGTTCTTCAGGAATGCTACCAAAGCTCACCGGGGGGTTTAACGGAGGTCAAATCGTGTTCTAGACCATCACCAAAATTGGTACAAGCACATATGACTATTATCTTTCAATACCAGTGAAATGTTGAAAAATCTATTCAAGTAGTTTAATCCATGTATTGCAATCTCCATCTAAGCCTCGAGCAATCCCCTTCCCCAGACCATCCTCGGTCTTGATGTGCCACCGACACTTACATGATCTTTTGCATCAATAAAACTCACCTTTAGGGTTAACAACTCGAGATACCCATATACAAACATCAGTTTCCAACATGGCTACTGTTACGTCTCACATATCTTGACCTTATCGAAGTAGTTTCCTCCCCAAAGCGGGACGATAACTAAATCTGTATGCGCGTTGCTATGCTTTTTTATGTTGAAGAACACAGGTAAGTAGGTCATTGTAAGATGATTAGGAAGCTCATGGAAAGAACCATGGTCATTTCATTAACAAAAAACCGTTCAATCTGTAAGGAATGGCGTTGTTCATGATACTGATGAGCTTAGCATATCTTCCAACTGATGAAAAGAGAAGGTAAAACACGAAGAGGAACTGGTATCCTGCGATACACAAGTGTTATACCGGCAGTAATATAACAAGTTCATGATATTATGATAAAAGGGTTAGAAAAAGGAAGGAGCAGATCGACAATTCGAGCCATCGAGAAGAAAGCATGTTGTTTTCATCAAAGGGGATGAGAGAAAAAGATCGACCGGCATAGCATCATCCCATGTCAGGCAATATCTTCAATGAAACTGTATACTGTACCTTCATCGAGCTAACACTTTCTCCACAATCAACATAGCTACATCGAATCCTTCGGCTTGATGAATGAGTAGCATGTGATCATGGCTATAGTATGTATGACGGCCGGTTGCCGATTCCAAGCACCCGATCCTAACTCGGGTTCCCGTCCGCAGAATCCTAGCTGCCATGTGTCAACGATCCATCCTACACATTCCACTCCTTCCTCGTTCTCTCAATTCCTTCAGATCAGGTAGGAAAAGAGCCGCGTCGAAAAGATAAGATAGCAATGTCTTTATCTGAAATCGATAGAAACCCCGGTTGTGCTTTATTCTGCCTGCATGTGCATATTCTCGCAGAATCCAGATTATGCAATACAACATTGAAATTCCCATCATCATCAGAGGTATTTGGAATTGCATCATAATCAGTCCTTTTGTCAAACGATCATGAAGGACCATACAATTCTTTATGCTACCCCTCCACACCTAAGAAGTCCTGCTGCTTTTATCAAGCAAGTTGGACCCTAGTATGTTGTGGAATGCCGCATTTACAATATTAAGGGAACAGCTGTGTCTTTGAGAACAAGTCGGACCTGCTAGCTTCTTGAAGTAATATCGAAGCTATTCGCAACAGAAGCACTGCAAATATCACATGTTCCTGTTGGTCAATCTCGGAACTTGGTACGTTCTAGCTACCTAGTAGTAATAAGTCTAGAGCTTTCTGACAACTACAGGTTACCGACTTCAAACTTCACCAGCGATATCGCAAGGAATTCACTTGATTCATCCCTTCCATGCTTTATAAAATAATTCAATAAACACACGAAAAGGAATTTTATGCTGCAACAATGTAGATAATATTAAAACCACATACAAGTAAACCAAGCCATAAAAACACAATAAAACAATAAGCCCCATTCAAACATTCATGCATCAATCTCCCTCTTCTCCCAACAAAAAACAACTCGCAAGAGTTCCAAAGACGCTCAGACCATTCCCCAAATTCGCACTAGTAGAGACTTGACTCTAATGCTTACCTAATCCACATGTTGCCCCTGCCAAACCGTTCGAGCACCATCGTCATAATCCAAATTATCTACGAAGAATCAATATAGATTCAAGATATACGATACCATCAACATCACTCCATCTCCACATATACCCATACTCATATCTATACCACTAGCTCACCATATAAACCTTAAAAGCATCATCCAAACCAACCACCAAAACAACAATCATGCCCACCACCCGTCGCAGCAGCGGCCCCGCCCAAAAAGGCACTCAAAAAACTCTCTCCTTCACCAACACCTCCAAGATCTCCAAAGCGGCCAGCACCCCCACCACACTCAAAACCAAATCTTCCATCACCAAGCTCCCAGACCTCACCGAGCTCACCAAGGGCCCCTCCCCCTCCCCCGCATCCCCAGACCTCAAACCCACCACCCTCCCAACCACCTCTCCTAAACCAACCTCCCAACCCAAACCCAAAGCCCAACCCGCCCATCAAACCCTCCAAAACACCCTCGCATCCCAAATCTCCGACGCCAAGATCCGCAAATACTGGAAAGCGCGCGAGGATCTGCGTTTAGCGCCTCGAGTACACCAGAAAGATTTAGAAATCAGTGAGAAGATATTGAGGGAATGGGATTGTATGAGTCAATTTGGTGTATGTATCATTCTTCTCCCCCCCCCCCCCCCCCCCCCCCCCCCAAAAAAAACACAATCACAGCAACTAACAACCTCACCTCTCAGCCCGCCATCGGCATCTCCCGCACCAAACGCTGGCACCGCGCCTCCAGACTCGGTTTAAACCCACCCCTCGAAGTCCTCGCTGTTCTCGTCAAAGAAGAAGAAAAGAAGAACAAAGCTGTAGAAAGAGCGTATGTGGATGAATTGATGGGGGCGAAAGGAATTATCGGAGGGGATGCAGTGTAATTGAAATTATGAGATCTAGAGTTCTTTTAGAAGAGATTGAGATGAGAATCGAGGAATTGGAGAGGCAGGGACGAATTGCCTAGGAGAGAGAGAAACCTCTAATCTGGGAGATGGGAAAGAAGAAATTACGGAAACTGGAGTGTACGATATAGCACGATATGCTACGATATGGGAGGATCCTTAAAATAGGACATACACGAACTGGAATGAATGGATATATGCGCATGGGATATGGTCAGGCGTCGGGGATTCCCTTACTTCTTATTTTACAATTAAAGCGGATTTGAGCTCATATATATTGATAATATCAGGATGAAATATGAGCTACAGATATTGATAATATCAGGATGAAATATGAGCTACAGATATTGAACGTGAACAGGATATCAAATAAATACCTACTTCTCTGTGATCACAGCTTGGACTTTGTGTTGACTTTTCTATCTTGGGCATAACCACAAGAAATAAGATTTTCGTTTAACTTTACTACAACATGAGAGAATTCATACAAAAACTCTAAAACTCCTCATTGATTCATCATTTTAATTTCATTTCCATTAAAAAATTCTTGCTCTATAGCAATTCTTCATCTACTACATGATTGATCTTAAAAACTCCATTCATCCAGCATGTTTTGGATCAGAAAAAAATACGTATTCCTTGTAAGAAGTAGGAAGCATGCTCTATAACTTCCACCTTTCGAATTTATCCGCGTTTACAAAATTGTCTCCTGGTTAACCTCAACCTTACATCTGAACCTCAACACGACCCTCAGAACCAGGGGCACCTGATGACAAAGATGGCAAAAGGTATGTAATATCATCCCAAGGATGTCTGTAAAGACCAGTGCGCAATCTCTTTTGATCAAGGTAATGAGCAATCAAACCAATAGAACGTCCAAGAACGAAGAGACCGTTCAAGACACCCATCTTCATGTAATCTTCAGCCTCCTCTGCACTGAATGCACCACAGTTGCGCATTAAATCAACGAAGCAGACGGCAACAGCACCATCAACGTTCAAGATCAAGTTATCTTTCTTGGAGGTGGTGACAGACTCAACAGCCAAAGCATAGTCGAGCATCTTGCAACTTGGGAAACGCTTCTTGACAAACTCCTTGACGAGCTCGACACGGAGATCTGGGTTGTTTCTTGACTTGACCTTGTGTCCGATACCTGGGATGAGTCTGTTTTGCTTTCTCATGGTATCGACGAAATCACGTGGGGAAAGACCCTTGTCAAAAGCTTTGGTGAACTCCTCAGCGGCACCATCAAGAGCACCACCGAATCTAGATCCGATAGTCAAAAGACCAGATACGAGAGCAGAGATAAGATCCTTTCCTGCTCTGGTAGTAATAATGGTGTTCATGGCACCAGAAACAGCTGGACCGTGATCGGCAGTGAGCATAAGAAACCATTCGAGGAACTTGCTTGCGTAATCTGGGAGACGACGACGGAACCACAAAAGAGACATGACACCACCAATTCCGATATCCTCCTTGAAGACATCAGAAATTGGCATACCAGCATACAAAAGTTCTTGTCCACGATCATCAGAAATGGTGGAGATGAATGCAGCAGGTTTTCGGATAAGACCAAGTTCTTGAGCCCATGAGTAATCAATTGGGATCTTTGGTACAATTGGCTCAGGTTGTGGAACAATGGTTCCAGCTGCAACAAGCTTCTCGTAAACAGAAGCGAGAACGGCTGGCAAATCCTCAAAGGTATCTGGAACGTGGAAACCAGCCTCCTTCATGGACTTGTTCTTGGTAGCAGCAGTCTCGAGTTGAGAATTGGCAAATGAACCAGCGTGTCCGAATTGGACCTCAGTCTTGAACATGCTTGCGCAAGTACCAATAGCCCATGCGACAATTGGCTTTGTGATAGTTCCGTTCTTAACGGCCTCAATAACTCTGTATTCCTCAACACCACCAACTTCTCCTAACAAAACCAAAATCTTACACTCTGGGTCGGCTTGATATCTGAGGAGATGGTCGATAAAGGTTGTGCTTGGGTATCTGTCACCACCAATAGCAACACCCTCGTAAACACCATCGGTTGTGTTGGCAATAATGTTGTTGAGCTCGTTGGACATACCACCAGATTTGGAAACGTAACCAACGGAACCCTTTCTGTAAAGCTTGGATGCAACAATGTTGTCCATCATACCACCAGTGTTACCAATCTTGAAGGATCCTGGCTTGATACCACCGACAGTAGCTGGACCGATGATTGTAACACCCTTCTTTGCAGCTGCGTGAAGAATTTCACGGGCACGCTAAATAATTCATGAGCACAGGATCAGAGGAATTCGAGGTAGAAAACTTACTCTCTCAGGTACACCCTCAGCAATGATGGCAATTGACTTAATTTGTGGGTATTGCAAAAGTTCCATGGTAGATTGGTAAACACTACGCGATGAAGCAAAGTTGACAACGGTATCAACATCCTCGTGCTTAGCCATGGCCTTTTCAACATCTTGGTAAACTGGGAGCAAAGTTTCACTGGTACCCCAGTACATCTTGCTAACGAATTGACCACCGAATGTATAAATGATACCTGCAACCGAAGGAGTCTTTCTCTTGCAGATGAAGTCGAAATCGAGCATGCCTTGAACAGCTCTTGGTTGCAGACCGTAAACGAAACATCTTGTCTTGTCGTGGAAAAGGGTGTGTTCAGCTCTTGGGCTCAAAGGTCTGGAAGGAGCAGCGAATCTGCGAATGTTGTCGTTGGCATTGCCTTGGGCACCGGATGCTGTAGCGGAAGGCATGGTGAAAAGAGGAAGTAATCAACAAAAATCTGAATGTGCGGAAGAGTAAATTGTTAGTCAATTGAAGAAAACTTCTGTACGGCTCAAAAAGGAAATAGTGATTATGATGGAGTGGTGTTTGGGCCTGAACGGAGGAGAGAATGAATAAGTTTGGGGAAGTCCGTATACGGAGGAAGGAGGAGACAAGAAGATAAGAAAAGAGGGTAGAATATGAGCTTACCTAGGCAGAGACTCGAGAGATTCAAGGAATCTTTTCTTCTACCGACTTTAATCTTCGAAGGTGTGGAGTTTTCAAATGAATCAAGAGAATAGAGAAAGGGAAATCCGTACGTAAAACAAAACGTAAAGAAATCTAGCAATTTCGTTATTCTAAATGTAATGAGAAGTAGTCGAATGAAGTGTTTTCTTTTAGAAACAAGACAAACAACTTGAATACTTTTCAGAGTACTTTTTTGATGTATGAAGAGGAGGAAGAAGAAGAGGAAGAGGAGGGTATTTTGAGATTGAATGGAAGGGTGACAACTTACCAGAAGAGATGGGGGGGGGGAGGTTGGATTGTAATAGAATAATCGAGAGAGAGAGACACAACAAGTGAGTCCTTTTTTCCAAACAATTCCTTTAGAAATCTTTCGTTGACAACTGAATTGAGGGCCGATATTTGGAGTGAGGATTGGTTGAAGTTCTTAGCTGGATACCTAAAAGGAATAGAGGGGAGTGGAAAATAAATGAGCTCGGACCGGAGTGTGTGATATGCGTCAAGAGTTACGACGGCATGGAGTTAAAGTGGCAATGGATTTTTGAACATCAGGGCTCGAGCAGGGCATCAAGGTTTGGCCTTCTAGCGTATTCGACCGTTTCTCCTCTAAGCCCTTTTGAGCCATGTCTCTTGATGAAGTATGTCGGTGTTGAGTAAATTCCGATGGTTGAGAGCCAATAAGATTGGAATCCTGGTTGAGTTAGCGTCCCAACGACGACCAACGACCACCACAAATCATGAGGACCCCACATTTTGGAATTGGATAGTTGAACATGCTCGCCATAATGCTAGTTTCCATAGTTTCCATAGTTTCCTAGTTTCCTAGTTTCCATAGCTCGAGCATAGCTTGCTTCCCTTTAGTCAGTCTCTCAGTCTCTCCAGAGTGGCTTAGTGGCCATATCGCAGGAGGAATGTCACACCCTTTAGGTCCATCAACATACCAATCACATCGAGGAATCTATAGCCAGCCCGATAAATCACCCGAAAACACACGCCATCTTGCCGGACCCGCTTCCATTCAAGGGACCTCGTCTGGAACCACCCACCACCACCGCCCACTGCCACCACACCACACTTACCTAGTATCCCACGCTTAGGAAGAAGTAATGAAAAAAGCAGCCAGCACTGGTGCAACAAACCAGTCCAGAAAATTAATAAATTTAGTAAAATAAAATAAAATAAATAAAATACAATAAAAAATTCACTTACTTCTTAAATGTAAATCTGGCCGATCTCCGTAGTCGCTGCTCTTACTCAATCCCAATATTCATTCAGCTGTTCCTTTCCAACCCACCCCTCCCCTCCCTCCTCATAGAATTTCTATTTCATTCTCCAAAAAGAATTAAGAATCTCCGATTCATTTTCACCATCTTCCCCTCCGCAAAACAGCAAAGGAAACTTGAGAAAGTTAGAATATAGATTCCATCTTTCCATTTTAATTTCACTTCCCTCTTTTCGAACAGAATTGAAATCTTGGTGGTCTCAATTATTCGACCCTTTTTCTTGCGTTCCATTGAAAGAATACCCCTTTGGTGCGTATATTCTTACTTCCCCCCCCCCCCCCCCCCCTCCTGTGTTTACTTTTCATTTCGGAGCGGCTTCATATCGCAATTATCTCGCTCTCCTTCGGTGTCCGAGTTAAGGGACGGGACTATTGAACTCTCTCACACCGACACGACTCATCAAGCTGAAAGTCTGTTGTTTAAGTTTTGTGAGTTGGCACGATCTGCATGGTGTTGAGATTTTCGACCGTCCAGCCCTCCAATTGAGTTCGGAAATTTGTGCTTGACCATTTGAGGATTCGGGGCTTACAGCTGTCGAGGCTTGTAAAGCACCAATCTGCAGCTTTTGAAAATCTTGAACTTTCCTATCAATCTCACGTCAATAGAAATTCCCAGGACCTTTTTATGCTAATCTGGAATTTCAACAGTAAACTCATCAATTTTCATACTTCAAAATGTCTGCCAAAGCTATCACCGAGGCCGACGGAAAGGCTATCCTCAACTATCACCTCACCAGAGCTCCCGTCATCAAGCCATCTCCTCTCCCAAAATCTGCCACTCACAACCCTCCCTCGAAGCTTGCTTCTTTATATTTCCCAGTCGACGCTGAGGTCTCATCAATTCTCGATCAAGCAGAAACCTTATACCCATGGCTCCTTGTTCCAGGTTCAAAATTCGTCGCAAAGCCTGATCAGTTGATTAAGAGAAGAGGCAAGAGTGGTCTTCTTGCATTGAACAAGACATGGCCAGAAGCAAAGGCATGGATTGCTGAGAGAGCAGGAAAGCCAGTCACAGTTGAAACTACTGTTGGAACTCTCCGTCAATTTTTGGTAGAGCCATTCGTACCACATCCAGACGGAACCGAATATTATATCAACATCAACTCCCAAAGAGAGGTATGTACTATCTTCTCATTCCCACTTTTGAAGGAGAGATTTCGTCAGAGGGAGTTTGCAGCAAATCTTGTTTTGGAACAACAAATAAACGATATTTAAGTAAATATCGAAAAGTAAAGATTTTGAGTTTATAGAAGATTTCGATATTCCAACGTTGGCAGTGGGATTCGTCAGTTCTTTATTGCTTCTCATTTACCAATGGATGCTTCGGAAGCACAAACGGACGAAAGGAAGCTAAGGAACCGATTCCAACCTCCCCCTGGTTCATAACTCTCCTTATCAATTTCTCATAGCAAGCGAGTTCAAGTCCGGCAGATTTATTCGGAAGATTCGCCGCCTCTTGTTATTTATGCTACTTTCACTCGCACAATTTTCATAGAGTTTCATAGCATTATGTACATGCTCACAATTTAAATCCACGTGCTAACAAATTTCCTCTTTAGGGTGATTGGATTCTTTTCACACACGAGGGAGGTGTCGATGTTGGTGATGTCGATGCAAAGGCCGAAAAATTGTTGATTCCAGTCGATCTTGCCGAATACCCTTCAAATGAAGAAATCGCTGCAGGACTTCTCAAGAAAGTTCCACAAGGTGTACACAATGTTCTTGTCGACTTCATCACCAGATTATATGCTGTTTACGTCGACTGTCAATTCACATACCTTGAGATTAACCCATTGGTCGTCATTCCTAACGCTGAAGGCACCTCTGCTGAAGTACACTTCTTGGATTTGGCTGCTAAGATTGATCAAACTGCCGAGTTTGAGTGTGGTGTCAAATGGGCTATTGCACGCTCGCCTGCTGCTCTCGGTATGGCCGCTGTTAAGGCAGCTGATGGAAAGGTTAACATTGATGCTGGTCCACCAATGGAGTTCCCAGCTCCATTCGGTCGTGAATTGACCAAGGAGGAAGCATACATTGCTGAACTTGATGCCAAGACTGGTGCATCCCTCAAGCTCACAATTTTGAATGCCAACGGTAGAGTTTGGACTTTGGTTGCTGGTGGTGGTGCTTCCGTCGTTTATGCCGATGCTATCGCCAGTTCTGGATTTGCTGATGAGCTTGCCAATTATGGTGAATACTCTGGTGCACCAACCGAAACCCAAACTTTCCACTACGCTCGCACTGTCCTTGACCTCATGCTTCGTTCACCAATTACTCCAGAAGGCAAGGTTCTTTTCATTGGTGGTGGTATTGCCAACTTCACCAATGTCGCTTCAACATTCAAGGGTGTTATTCGCGCCATTAGAGAAGTCAGCAACTTATTGATCGAGCACAAGGTTCAAATCTGGGTTAGACGTGCTGGACCTAACTACCAAGAAGGATTAAAGAACATCAAGGCAGTTGGACAAGAATTGAAGCTTGATATGCACGTTTATGGACCAGATATGCACGTTAGTGGTATTGTTCCTTTGGCTTTGGTTCCAGGACGTCTTGCAGAGAGTAAGATTAAGGAATTCACTGGTTAAATTTGGGAAGAGATGAGATATGAACATTTTTGACATTCTTCTTCGAGGGCATTTTTGTTTGGCTGTTCCAAGCAAAGGTAGCACAATGGCGTACAAAGCTTGCTTAAGAAATTAACAAATAGATACTCGTAATTGTGACCATTTTTCTAGTCTTAATGATGTGACTGTGATTTGTGATAAATGGTGCAGTGATAATAGTCTTGTTGTGGCTTACTCAAATAAATTATAGATACGAAACTAAATACCTATACATAGGTGATCATAGACGAATATAATTTCTCATGAGATTTTGAAACGAATACGCTTCAATCATCAATATCGTAGTTCCATGTTGCTTTACCAAAACACTAAGAATGAGCTAGGAATAAGCTCTGGCACGTGATGTGCATCATTCAATTTCTACCTATACCTAGGTACCGTCTTGATTGCATCTCTTCTTTCTTTCGAAATTCAACACGCAATCAATTCAATCCGTTGAAGTTGAACACCCGGCCCGGATTTTATGTGAATTGTTTTTCTGGTTTAGCTGGGGTTTCTAGTTTAGCTAGGTAGTCTTTCTGGATATCCGGTCTTTCTGGATAGCTCTGTATACGTTTTTAGATATATGTGAATATTTTGGGGTTTGGGGAAGGATTGGATTGGATTGGATTGGTAGGATAGGAGTGGATTGGATTGGAGTGGATTGATTGATTGACTGATTTATTTGATTGATTCACTGGTTGGTTGATTGGTTGATTGGGCTTTTGTTTTGATACGTGAGGATCGAGTGAGGATTGAGAACTTTGAGGTTTGGGTGCGGGTGTGAATGTGAATGTGAATATGGGAATGGGATTGAATTCGGGAATGGGGATAGCGAAGAACGCTCTCGGGAAGTTTGTGGGAGTGGGAATGGGAAAGATGAGAGGATATGGATGTGGGTCTGGGAGAATAAAGAGGATGGGTGGTGAGATGAAGATGAAGATGTCGTTGGAATTGGAATCGATGGTTCCTCCTTCTGCTAGGCTTTTTGGGAGATCGAGAGGATTCTGCTCTTCTTCATCTTCTTCATATGCTTCGTCGTTTACTTCATCACCATCGCCAACCTCAACCGAAGAGAAACCAGGAGAAAAATCAAACACAAATACAAACCTTCCTTTTGCGAACAAAACGATATTGGTAACCGGTGCGACCCGCGGGATTGGCAAAGCGATCGCGCAAAAGTTTGGAGAGTTGGGGGGAAGGTTGGTATTGGTGGGAAGAAATCGGGAGGGCTTGGAGGGGGTGGGGAGGGAGCTGATGAAGGGAAGAGGGGGGAAGGGAGAGGGAGGAGGAGAAGGGGATTGGATGGTTGTTTGTGGAGATGTGGGGAAGAGGGAGTTTTGGGAGGGGGAATTTGGAAGGGGAAAAAAGAGAGTGGGTGAGGAAAAAGGGGTGAGTTTGAGTTTCTGTTTTGACTTTGGCTTTGGCTTTGGCTTTTTGATTGTTTTGGGAGATTCGTGGTGCTGTGGTGCTGTGGTTTCTAGAGGTGCAGATTGAGGGGAAGTGGAGAGAAGAGATGTGAAAACGCTGATGTATGGCTAGCATGGAGAGATACTAGTGATGATAGTTCCTTTCTATTCTTTCCTCTGCGCCTCTGAAGCTTTTGGAGTTAGACCCTTCTAAAGCCATTAATCTCGACATCTCCTCATTTCACCTTATCCATTTTCGCTCCATGGCTATTCTCACTCCTACCCCATTCTGTTCCCCTCACCAGCAATTTCCCTGTTTTCCCTATCTCTCCCTTCCCCAATTCACGATCCTCCATCACCCATTCCCACCCCCCTTTCCTCCTAACCCCCACCCTCCCACAATCACCCAACCAACATCCCCCCCCCCTCAGAACCCCAACCCCAAACCCAAAATCGACAGCCTCGTCAACGCCGCCGGTCTAACCCACGCCTCCCCCCTCATAACCACCTCCCCTTCCCTCATCGAAAACATCCTCCAAACAAATTTAATGGGTACAATCTGGGGATGTAAAATCATCGGAAAAGAGATGTTGAGACGGAGAGAGGGTATGTTTTTTTCCTTCCCTTTCCTTCTTCCCCCTTCCTTTCCCCTCTCCTTACACAAACTCACAAAGAAAAAAAAATTCCACACAACATCAATTATCTCCCCCCACCAAAAAGTACAGAAGATAATCAACTAATACGGTCAAAACAAACAGGTTGTATTATAAACGTCTCCTCGCTCCTCGGTATCAAAGCGGAAGAGGTAGTGCCGCGTATGCAGCTAGTAAAGCGGGGGGTTCTTGGTATGTTTCCCCCCTTTTCCCTTCCCTTCACATGTTCATTCCCATCTCCTCTCTCCTCTCTCCTCTCCCTCTCTCCTCTCTCCTCTCTCCTCTCTCCTCTCTCCTCTCTCCTCTCTCCTCTCTCTCCTCTCTCCTCTCTCTCCCTCTCTCCTCTCTCCTCTCTCCTCTCTCCTCTCTCCTCTCTCCTCTCTCCTCTCTCCCTCTCTCCCCTCTCTCTTCAATCGTCTTCTTGACCCCTCTTCCCATCTATACCCTATCCACCCCCTCCTCCAAACCCCCAACTAACCAACCCCCCACCAAAAGGTCTCACTCGCGCCCTAGCCGCCGAAATGGGTTCTGCAGGAATCCGAGTCAACGCCATTGTACCCGGCTATATCGAGACGGATATGACGAGGGGTATGTTTATTTATTTTTCATTTAATTTTGATTTTTGGGAATTTTTTGCTACCTCTTCCCTTCTTCCTCCTCCTCTCCTTCTTTTTCTCCTTATGCTCTCCCTCTTATTCTCACTCTCACTCTCACTACCCCTCTCGCAATCACATATTCCCATTCACATCCTCTCTTCCTACCTCTCTTTCACTATCTTCCATCTTTCACATCACCTCTCACCTCTCACCTCACAAACTCCCACATCAAAATAAACCACCTTCATTTTTATTCCATTAATTATGTTATATTTTTCATGCCCCCGCTATGCTATTCTGTATTCTGGTATTCTATTCATGAACTCCTTTCCCTCCCCCGTTCCGTTTCATGTCCACATTCATCTAAATTTGCTATTTGCAACCCCCCAAATGATTTTTATCTTCACCATATCCACCCTTGATTTTTTTTCAATCCTTTCAAAAACCTCATATTTCACCAATTCATTTCTCGCTTCCCACCTCCAAATCCCAAATAAAATCGCATCCCCCTTTCCTACCTCTCCAAACCTAATGTACACAAGATCATCTTACATTTTCCATTTCGCATCTTAAACTCAAAATCGCAATCAAAAAATCAAAGAAAATGAACTAACAACCTCCTTCAAAGCAATGTCAGATCCCGCCCGCTCAGAAGCATTAAACTCCATTCCTCTATCACGTTTTGGAGATGTAGCCGAAATAGCCGATGCCGCTGTCTTTTTAGCGACCAATAAGTACGCAAACAATTGTGTGCTTAATATTGATGGAGGATTGAGCGCCGTATGATTTCTTCCATAGAGGAGTGATGCAAAACATTTGCTGAGTCGAGGTTTGGGGGGGAGGGTGTATTTGAGGAGGGACGCCGTTCGAGTACTGGAGATAAAAATTGGATAGGACATGATGGGATAGTGCAAATGCATAAAAGATAAATAGATCAAAATGCAAATAAGCATCTAATCATCATCAATCAAAATAGCTCCATCATTCGCATCATCCAATACAATAATACCATCATTCAAAGTGTCCATGGACAAATTGGTTGAACCGAGCGGTTCCATCTTGGAACGCTTCGAAGTTGGGGAAGGATCATGTTCCAATGCATCGGATGCAGGTCTCTTTTTGATACCATTGGAATTACCATTTTGAAGAACTTCTGCGGTGAGAGATTTTGCATGTCCATTTGTTGGCTCTTTGGATTCAGGTTCTGGAATAGGTTTCTTACGACGTGGAATTGGTGATTCAGGGGATGTAGCGGTAGATTCTTCGGAGATAATAGGAACGGTAGGGATGGAGGAGTTGACGTTGATATCGAGACTTTTGATGGGAGAATCTTCCATTGCGGTGTCACTGTTATAAATGTTAAGATGTGAAGAATAGGAAGAGAAAAAACATGAAATGTCTAGAAGACTTACGATTCTTGTACATTAAGTACGAGGTTAACTCTAGGACCCTTTGGATTTTCATCATCTTCATCAATAACTGTCAAGAATGTATCTCCTTTAATGCCTATACATTTTGTCAGTTGATCGCATTCAAAAATGTGCATTCGAAAAGAAAAGCTTACCAAGTTCACTAAGTTTTTTGTCCAAATTCTCAGTTTCCTCAACATCATAAAGTAACCCACTCTCATTATTAACCACGAATTCCTCTCCGTATCCAAGTTGAAGTTTCAAGAAACCCTCAACAAGATCATTGAGTGTGGCTCTTGACATATCAACCAATAGGCGAGTCTGTACTACACTGCATACAGGACAGTCTGGGTTTGGTTCTCGGTACTTATCAGAGGAGAGTAATCTTTCTGGAGCAAATGGAGAAAGGAAAATCTATTCGTGTAAGTATGTATTCTAATTATCCCAAACCTGAAAGTTAAACATACCTCTTTACTACTAGAGTAATCACCTCGAAGTACTTTGAATGATTGTAAAACACAGAGACCAGCTACAATAGCGTTGGTAGTTGCAATAGCAGGGATGATATTACCGGCCATTTGTTTGATATCAAATCGAGATTTAGTTTCGATACCAAAGACGATGGATCTTAGATTGGCGCTTGCGGTGACAAAGTCCAAAGTATCCTCATCATCTTTATCAAATGTGATTATTGGTTCTGCGGAGGTGGCAGCATTTGAGGTAGATTTCATTTCTTGTAATCTCTTACTTAATCGTTCCAGACTAATGAAGTCAGAATTGTGATTTTTTGGAAAGGAATAAGGGAAATACTAACCTATCTTTGAAAACAATGAGATTCTCATGTAAATTCCAAACTCGTTGATCATCTTTGAGTATAGCTTGCTTGACGGCTTCATCATTTCCTGCTTCTACATTCAAGGTGGTGTAATCTAATGCCTCAGGTGGTCGTCTTGATTTCCACATGTCCTCCATAGATCTTAAACGAATGATATCATCCTTAAAGACCTTATCAAAAAGTAGTTGAGGGAATGCATCGGTACCCATTGATTCTTTAATCTTCTTTAAAGCTTGAGACTCTAACCGCAACTTTTCAATCTCCTTGGCTATTTAAAATTAACACAATACTTCAAAATATCACGGGGCAATAGAGCTTGGAGCTCCATAGCTTGGAGAAACATACCATTCTCTGAATCTTCTGAATGATCCATCTCAGTTGATTCATCCTCACTAGCACCAAATACCTCACTTTGATGAATTAGCAAAACTTCCTTCCCACTCAGTCCCCAGGCCAGACATACCTCAATAAATAGCTCTTTCCCCAAACTATACAATGAATTGGTTGACTTGGTGTACTGCGAATAGTACAAACCGGGAAACTCTTTGGTGTCTCTTTTGTTGTGCAATCATAACATGCCGTCTTTCCTTTCTTAATAACCTGAACTTGTCCATTGAAACCAGTTGTACCCGATTCGATTAAAGGTATATCCGCTGCCAAACACATCTTGTTTACATGTCTCCTAGCTTCAAGATTATCCAAAGCATTGAAAACCATTGTAAAACCCTTGAACCAATCCACATTGAATTGTGCATCCTTGATATTCGCATGATGTGCTTCTAGTTTGACTTTCGGGTTGAACTTATGCGCCGCATCTTTCGCAACCTGTAAATTTCTCATCAGCACATATCCAAACTCGGCCATAACTAGAGAACCTACCAAAGCCTTTGATTTCTTAATATGTTCATGACGGAATAGGAATTGTCGATTTAAGTTGCTGAGATCGATGGTATCCAGGTCTACAATGTGAATTTCTCCAAAGCCAGCCAAAACCAAGTTCTTGAGTAATTCACATCCAATTCCTCCGGCTCCTACCATCAAGATCCGGGCCTATTTGAATAGTTTAGTAAGTACATTCATTTTCAATGGGTTTCCGCAAAAGTGGGAAGTTTGCAGAAACAGTTGGTTGGAACAAACATAATTCCAACGACATTGGATTTATATTCCTGCAAATTGGATTTGCGACAGTAAAATATCCAAATCCAACCGCAAGAACCATAAAAACAAGAGAAAATGAAACAAAATCGGAAGAACTCCTCGCCTTCCAGAGAATAAGATAGTGTGAACTTTGTACGCTTACCTCCTTGACCATAATATTCAAAGGTTTCCCCAATGACTGCATGTTGAATTGATCGCGCATCATGTTGAGTAATTCATGCGTTGATATTTTGCGACAGCGCAAGATGTAGAATGACGACCAAAATCAAGGTTGAGGTTATGTGAATAGAAATCCAAAGTTGATCATCACCGATTGAGATGGTTCCTGAGGCTCTGCTTATTATTTTGGCTAAGCTATCGATTTTACCTATGGGGGATAAATCCGCCATCGCGTTGATAAAGGTGGAAAGCGCGCTTGATTATGTAAGCGAACTTCTTATCGTTTGGGTGGTAGGAGCGAAGTGAAGTTTGTTTGGTTTTTTTCACAAAGTAGGTATGGAGAGTACTAGGTATGTAAAGGAGACTATGAAGTAGGAGACTATGTAGGTACCTAGTAGATACATGATGGTCTCATTTTGAGGTCTGAGTGTTTATTACTATGTAGGTAGGAGGTAAGAGCTGAAATTATAACTCAATTATGCATTATACCAGGTAGATGATAGTTTCATAGTATGATCTCAATATAAAAAGAAATTTACAAATTCTGTCTATCTACATACCTAGTCGTCACCTAGTATTCTCAATCGTTCCTACCTTTACTTTTTGTATCCACACTTCATCTAAAATCGACGAATTTTACAGTCCATACATACCCCGCCGAGTCCACCTCTAATGCATCTCTCATACCCCTCCAAGCTCTAACTCTTTCAATACTACAATATTAGTATATTACTACCACATCATTGAACTCTCAATCATCAATCATCAATCATTGAACCCCCAAACCCCCAAACCTCCCCTAAATTCCACACTCAACCCCCTATCCATCATGTCCGACGATGAAGCCGATCCCGAGCTCCTCGAGCTCCTCCGTCAACATTTCCGCAAACCTACCACCCCAGATATCCCCGAAACCCGCGTTCTCGAAAGTGCTGAATACATCTACAACAATTCCATCGATGTCGCTCTCGATATGGCTTCCACCAAAGCTGCTGCTGCATCCATCTACTCCCAGATGCAAACGAAATCCTACTCTACCAAAACATGGTCATCACATGACTTACATCCCAAAGCCAAAGACGAGAGTACGGTAAACTTCATCTTCACCATGGATCTACTCAATTTTTCCTTCTGGAGTCTTCAAAATGAAGAAGAAAGATTTGCAGTAGAGTACAAAGGAAAGAAGTGGACCGGATATTGGAGTTTAGTAGCTGCATTACAAAGAGGTTTAGAAGAGGGATATCCCATTACCAGTTCTTGTTATTGGCAAGACGAGAATGAACTCACGGAAGAAGTATTCGCCCATATTTTTCGTTCATGTACGGCGGAACCCATGCCACTTCTTACGACACGTCTCTCACTTCTTCGTGAAGCGGGGACGATTCTCTACGAGAGATACAACTGTTCTTTCACAAATTGCATAAAGGAATCTAATCACTCTGCAGCTGCGCTTGTGAATCTTCTCGCGGATTCTTTTCCTTGTTTCAATGATGTGGTTTCGTTTGAGAAGCGGAAGGAAGTCAGATTACTCAAACGTGCACAAATATGTGTAGCGGATTTATGGGCAGCGTTTGATGGAGAAAGTTGGGGAGAATTTAATGATATTGATAAACTTACTATGTTTGCCGATTATCGTATTCCACAGTTGTTGAATACGTTGGGATGTTTATGGTATGCACCGGCTTTGGAGAGTAATATTAGGAAAGGAGAAGTTATTGAAAGTGGACATACTTGGGAGGTGCAGTTGAGAGGTAAGGTTTCATGATTTTCTTCTTCTTTTTCTACTTCTCATTTCTTTGTTTTGGATGTGAACGGAATTTAAAGAATTAATCTAACATGATGAATCATAGGTTGTAGTATATGGTGTGTAGAATTGATTCGAAGAGAGATATTGAAGAATCATCCAGAGGCAAAAGTAAATGCTATTTTGATCGACTTCTTTCTTTACGATACCATGAAGGAACGGGAATTGGAAGGAAAAGACGAGATACCCCATCATAGAACTAGAAGTATATGGTATTGAGCAACGAAGATAAAATTGAGCGTTACTCAATATACGCAAGAGAAGTTTCTAAATCACAACTTAGATAACAATGAATATGCTTTGCAAGAGATTTAAATTGTTGAATATGGTGGAGATATCATTTGTACAGATTTTGTATTCGTCTATCTGTTATACATATGCAGATTGACCATTCCCAGGTCCAATCATGCACCAATATGCCATTCCCTTTGACCATCGGCCACATGTATAAACTCCAAAACGCCTTGTTATGCACATATACCAATAACCATTTTATATCTAACGTAAACGCCGCTCTATGCAGGTATCTCATAAATACACGTGAAATTTCAGCCCAACTATGTATACTTCTACCATGATACATCAGATGTTCCCAAACCTTTTCCAATCGAAACCCAAGATCCATGAAATTCAAGCGATCCAGACGATAATTTTTGTCGCATCCGATAAATACCGTGTCGGTTGCTTGTAATGAATCATAACTTCTATCGACAGCTATCGACAGCTCTCATGCCACCTCATACTCTCGTCGTTCTTCGCTTGGTGAGAATTTGTCAACAGGGGGTTCATAATGAAAGGAAAGTTTTGTGCGGAATTTCCGAAGCACCTTCCAGTCACGTTTCGAGCGGGCGTAAGTCTTTCTGGCCACTTGAGGAGGATAGGTGAGATAAATCTCCTCGGCCAAAAGTTTAACTTGTTGTTTCCCCTTATTGATCTTGAACAAGACCAAGTTCAATTCCCGTAACTTCCACTCAGGATTTACTTGTGGAAAATCCAAGATGAGATCCCGTTCTAAAAGTTTGATATGTCTTTGATTCGTATTAATCGCGAATTCGAGGTGACTGATTCGTTGATTAATTTCTCGCGACTCTTTCAAGCGAAGGAATTCCGCTTTCGATTTGATGCTCTGTTTCATAACATGTAGATGCCATGCAATATGTTTGACTTGTTTTGCACTTTGATTAACCTTGACAATAAGATTCATCATGCGCTGCTCTCTTTCTTTTACTATGTAGTAGAGTTCCTTCTTCAAGAGATTGATTTGTCGTAAGCTCAAATTTATCTGGTATTCGAACACATGAAGTTTTTGAAGCCGTTTTAATCCCTTGAGAACAACAATTCTGTGTCCTAATGACATGTGTGGAGATTCCTGTAACCTGAGATGATATGTATATCTCCAATCTCTAGGGAATTGATTGTAGTAGAAGGAGACTAAAGACATTTCAGTCGATAAGATGTTTGCGTTTGACAATGCAACCTTGGATTCCAAGCTTTGAAGCATCACTCTTCTACCTTGACGGGTTCCTTGTTTTGATTTATCTGCTCGTGCGTTCTCTGTATATGTGAACTTTTCGAAAATCTCGAGGGAGCGGTCAATGCTAGGCTGAAGTGATGGTCGATTCCGAGTTCTTTTCACTGGAAGATAATCCCAAGCTTGAGTATTTCCAAATTCGGGGAACTCAAGGTGAGATTCCTTTTTGACGTTGTAATTGAATCTTTTTGAGGATATCTGAAGAATGTCTTGCAATGAATTTACACGTGCAACAAACCGTTCAACAGAATCACGTATCGAACCAAGGTTTAACCAAAACAAAAGCCTTCCCAGATTCCACCTAGGAATATCTATTGGTAAAATGCTTGGTAGATCTTTTGTCGGGTCAATTCCACAAAGATACATAAGTTCCCTTATGGCCCACCGTGTAGTTTTGGTGAGCGGGATGCGATCAGGTACTTCTATATTTTCGGCCCAGGTCTCTAATATAGAATGTAAAAGTGACGCTCCAGCAGCATGATCTAGTTGAGCTACACAACTTCTCACTGCCTCACAAAGTAACTCTGGTCGAATCTTAATTTTCTTGTCTTGACGTAAAGCTGCTCGAATATACATGACAGATTGTCGAGCAGTGGTCATTTGGAGACTCGTCCCAATAAGAGCATCGAATATAGATTCATCTCGTGGTACTTTTCGTTCGAGCCAACCTCCTCTCAGGGTCAATCTCTGAGCATGTTTCTCTGCCCAACTCAAAACACGTGGATTGCCCAATAGTTGATTCTCATGTCTCCGTGCAATTCTCATACTCCCATCCACTGCTCTCATGCGCCTGATAATGCTTCGATAACCTTCTAAATCATTCTTGGCTGCATAATGATTCAAAATAACCTGAATAGTCCTTGAAGTAGGTTTGAACATTGTATCGTAGAGAAATGAATCAACAATTACTTGAGCGTGGTCATGAAGCATTAATTCTGTCAATTTCTCGATTAAAAAGTTATAGGTAAAAATATTTGGCGATGCTGAACTTATGAGAAGATTGTAGCATATCTTGGCTAGAATTAGATTGAGATTATCCTGACCCGGAGATGTATTTTTGAGGAGATTTTCCAGCGCGTCATGTAAATGAAATCTTTCTTGACCAATTTCGGCTTCCAAATGGTACGCTGGCATGCTAATATCACCCCGTTGTAATTCCTCCACTCGTCCTATCATTTTATCAGTCTGGAGAAAGATACCAGACGATGCTGAGTGTAAATCCGCTGCCATAGGAGAGAGCTTAGTAGTCCACATGAGTCGATGAACTAGCTTCGAAATCGAGTTTTCTAATCGGTCCAAGTGTTTCCGAGTTTTTACTTTGCGGGGCTGAAGCATGGCATTTGAGGGTATATATTCGCCGAACTGTTCTAGGTTTGCAATATGTTCTGGCGTGGCTGACTGAACGGGGGGAGTGGTGGATTGGGGAATGAGATCCTGTGAAGTTTCTGGTGCCGTGATCTCGATGGACCTCGAGACATGTGAGGGTTCGTGATTGATTTGAACTCCCAACCGACTCATGGAAGAGTTTGCCGTCCAGTTGACTCCATCCCACGTCATGGGTCCTGTAGATCCAGCCTTTGTACCAATAACTCCAGTTCTTGGGAAAGAAAATTGATTCCCCAAATATCCTGGGAGCCTTGACGTTCCTGAAATTCCTGATGTTCCTGACTCTCCTGGCATTCCCGGCATCTGATTCTTGACTTCACTTGCATTTCCTTCGACTTGACGATCCTGCGATTCCTCCACTTTGTCGGTAGGAACTCCCGCCTTTGCTTCTGCAATGACTCGATCCCATTGTTCCCTTCGTCGAACTTTTCGATTCGAATCTGCCACTGCAGCAGTTGCGAGTATTGTTGAATAACATGCCGTAAATATATCCCCTATGCTAACCCTTCGACGTTTCCCAATTGCATTTGTCGTTTGACGAGTTATGATTGTGCCGATTTTCACACAAGTGTTACAACGACATGATGATCTGGTCTGCGCAGCGCGGAACCATAAACTTTGCATTATATTTGCATACTTGTCAATTTATGGATTTTCAGCTTACTGGACTCGTCAGTCGTGCCATTGAAGGTTGGGGAAGTTTCGAACTTTTGCGCTATGTAAAATAAATTGATGTCTATCAAAACTTATCGAATGACTTTCACAATTGGGCGGCCGCTTTAACCGATCGAATTTGTAGTACAAACCACCCCTCCTCATTATGCCCCTCCATGATTTTCATACTTGCGTTGTAACAATAAGATCAAATAAATACATACATTACCAGTATCACGAAACTCACGATGCTTACCTTGACACTTACTGCAGATCTTTCTGGGTCAGTATATAAAGGAACCTCGAGATATACAAGAGCTAACACTTCACTGTATGTAGTGTGAATGAGCTTGTCCCCGATGACAGCGCAGAGAAGAACTTCTGGTATACTTTCAAAGTACAATGTGTATCATGCAGAGAAATTCATCCAAACTTCATAAACATCAATAGATTTGTAAGTCAAGTCAAGAATAGCGAGGGTCTAAATTCTTCTATTCTTCAGATACTAACATGGACTTTAGGAAGCAAATGAGATGAGTGGTAGTAGAGGAGAGGCAAACTTTGTATGGAAATGCAAGTTCTGTAAGGTGTGTAGTTCTACTCATCATATTATGAAACAGAAGTGCTGATTTCATGTATAGAAAGAATCATCTGCATCAGTTATATCAACACCAGTTCCATATCAAGCAGCCTCTCCACCAACTCGTCAAAAGATTCTAGAATTTGATTGTCGAGGTCTTGAGTTGGTAGAATTCAAACCTGAGGTAAGCCTTTCTTCAAATGTTTACTATGATATTTGAATCTTATGTATTTGTTTCTCTTAGGGAGATTGGTTGGCTGTTGGAACCGACAGTGGTACCAAATTTACTGCTATCGATTTGAATGATGGAGAATGGTATGATTATGATGATAAAGCAGGAGAGGAAGTTAGCATCAAGGACTTGAAATGGGAGATTAGGAGAAATTGAGATGAGACAGAAGAAATGAGATTATGAATAGATGTCAAAAGGATCAAGTATGAATGTTATGATATCAAGTCACCTGGTCTGTGGAATGTAGTGTTGAAGCAATGATAGTATTTGTTACCTATATGAGCGATCTATCTCAATATTCGATATCAAATTCCATTCAAATATCGTATAGTGACTCCCGAGATCTTCAAGCATGATATAGCTCCTTGGTCATTTTCATCATTAAATTCCTATTGACATTGATGCTGAGATTATTCCACATGATGATCACCAGCCTCATCACAATCTCAGCCTTGCACTTCGCTTAGAAAATTTCCCAGCGACGCCAGCCTAGCCAACGAGTAACAACCATCAGCAACCTCACTTCCGACGCGACCATTTCAAACCCGCGTCCCTCCACAACCCATTCATTTCAATCTCCAGCTCACATCATGAGTGTAAGTCATCTTTCTTCCCTCTTTAATATCAAATTACTAATTCTCATTAGTTCGTACCAATTAACCCCCGTCCGTTCCTTCAAAACCTGTACGTTCTAGCTATCCTTCCTCAATCGAGCTTCCAACATCGAATTCTCACCAACTTCCTTCCGCGCACACATGAAACTATAAACATACTAATCCACTATGTAGCGTCAACGAAGAAGTAATCATTCGTCTAAAATGGGGCGGTCAAACCGAATATAAGGGCAAGCTTGTCAGTATCGACAGTTATATGAATATTCAATTATCGGGCGCCGAGGAATGGATTGATTCGGAAATGACGAGTACTTTGGGTCAGGTCTTGATTAGGTTTGTTTATTCCTTCTGTTATATTTGAGGTTTTCAAAGGGCTTGGGTAATTGATGCTGAGCGTTTGAATTGATGGGCTGCACTGCACTCAGTGGCACGTCATTGCGCTGCGCTGCGACATGGAAATGCTCATCACATTAGGATCGAAATCAAAACTAAATGCGCAAAATCTAACATTCAAATAGATGCAATAACGTCCTTTACATATCAGCTGCACAAATCAAGAAGGAAGAAGATGATACGAAGATGGAGGGATGATTCTGTGAACTTGCGACTTGACAAATGGATAGATGGATGTGGAAACCATAATGGACTGAAAGGAGAGGAAAGCAAGAGAGGTCCAATGGGAAATTTGATAGATACCTAGTATGGGAGAAAATATGAATGGAATGCGGAGAGCATTACATAGCAGATATGGTAGAATGTAGGAACATCTCACTTCCAGTGAGCAGGAGTAGTAGGAGAGGAGAAAATTACCTATACCTACAATGATTTATTCACGAACGGCGTTGTTCAAGCAAATCAAAGCAAGCTTAGGTACCTAGGAATGGCTACCAGATTCTAAACAAGTCACGCCACACTTCTACTACATTTTGATATCACAGTACACAGTGACAAATTATCGTATGGTAGGTATGGATATTCATTGCTCTCTTACTTCAATGATAAATTGATTGATGAATATGCATTTTTCATATAAAACCTATTTACATAAGACAACCAATTGATCGGCTACTACCTACCTCACTCAAACCCACTCTCAAGCGTTTGTTAGGTCCCACCATAACAAACGCTTCAACTAACCACTCATACCATACTTTTCTATCATCAGTTTGTCTCCAAATGCTGGCTTCTACCTCTGAATCATCAGGAATATATAGAGGTGACTATTTATATGTTAATGACTCATGATTATAAAGGTTAGGAGAGGAAATACATACCTTCAAAGGAAAGAAATTGGAAACCATGAAATCATATCTTTACTCTTCGCATCAATTGTATCAGGACGCGTGCTCAATTCGACCTTATTCTCGGCTTTTCCTCCACCTTCATACAAAACAGCTTCGAAATATCCGGCAAGTCCATTGACCACACCACGATCTTTACAAACGAACTTGAGACGTGCATAACGTGTATTATGTTCATTAGCACCATCACCTCCAGACATACTTCCACCACCTCCTCCACTAACCCCACCGCCTCTTCTGGCTTCAGCAATGTGTAATGTGTTTACAGGGAGTGGATGTGAGAATTCCCATGCTTGTTGAATTTGAGGATGTTCCGGGACGGAAGTGGCAAGGAAATCAATGGCGTGGAACATGACTACATAAGGAGTATCTGTAGCGTGTTCGTCTGCCGAAAATCTGTTGGAAATATCGGCGTGAAGACGAGGAGCAAGAATTGGGGTAAGGTGAGCGGTATATGAAGCGGGGATTGAAATACCGTGTTCTGGTGCTAACACATGTTGAACTCCATCAATACATTCAGGCGATAATTCATTGTCTGCAAAAGAACCAAGAAGTTCAGAGACAAGTATATCAACTTTACCATGTGTAGTTGCTGGAGTGGTTGAAGATGTTGTGACGGCTTGACCTATAGGTCCAGCTGCATTCTTTAATGGTCCTTTCCAAGCACGCATATCGGTCTTTACAACATTGACTACTCCATTCCAGACATTTTCGTTATGTCTTTGAAGGAGGACATATGCATTTGGATTCTTCTCCACTGCCCATACTTCAATTGGAACACCAGTTGTTTGACTTGCTTTTAGAGCTCGAGAAACCAAAGGTCCACGTCCAGAACCAGCTACTGCAAGAACAACGGCATCACTAAGACTTGATGTGGGTTTTTTATGTAAAACCCAATCTGATAATGCTCGTTCAATAGCTCGCTCATACCAATCATATTTAACAGGATCTTTTTCAAAAACCTCATATGTGACAGATTCGAGATTATCTGTTAATGGTTGAAGAGGCGCTTGTAAGTAATCTTGATAACCCGATCCGAATTTCTCAATAGGAGTTCGCTCTGGTTGATTTCTTTGGAGATATCTTAAATAAATCAAATGAGCTGCAACATCCTTTGATTTTGTTTGTGATTTGGTGCTATTTCTTCTAGCTTGCTCCGCTTCGGCTGGGGTTGGAGATGGTGCATCTTGAACAACACTTGGTGATGCATAACCATCTGCCACTGAGATTTGTTGATTTGGATCATCCAAACCAGGGATTGGTCCTACATCACATAATAGTAACCATGGTGGGTTCTTAAGCTTCATATAGCGGGTGAGGAGATTTTGATGAGCTTTGCCTAAAACTGGATGTCCACCTTTATTCTTCAAGAATGTTGATTGAGTAAAGGTCAATAATTTTAGGGGCTCAGCAAACCAACGAGATTGAAGTGATTCAATAGGAAGTTGACGTGGAAGTGCCAATGCTATAGAATATTGTTAGCTTATGCTTGTTCTTAAAGACAATCGATCGGGGAGTAGAAGTCGCAGCTCCAAAAACAATAATGTCATTACCGACGCGATGAATGATTGACTTCGTGGGCCACGGCCTTTTAGAATTCATGATTTGACGAGTCCAGGTCGAATAATATGAAAATATTGGAGAAATAAAATGTATTTTCATTAACCTACCTACTGAAAGTCTGGAATTGTATTTACATACATCCCGAATCAAATTCCAAGCATCCCAATTCTCATACAAATCAATTTCGTTTTCACTCTTTGATGTATCTGTTGTTGATTGATATCTGGAAAATGGCAAAAGATCACCCGTCATTTCCGTATGGTCTTCGACACCATACATAGGCATATGAATTGAAATATTGATATAACTGGCAATTGCGAGAGCCTCTTGAATAGCACGAGCATATTGAGCAAGTCCATTATTTCCCGATTCTCCATTGTATGTTCTTGGACCTGGAATAATAACATTACCCACTCCGCAGAAGGAAGCATATGCAATTTCGATATTCAAAACTTGACGAGAAATATTTGCGATGAGCGGGTCTGGAGAACATAGATCTATCCAAGGACTAGAATATGCGATAAGTTGCGAGACTGTATCGGAGGGGGTGAATGGTGTATCGACAGGATCGAGAGGTGGAATAATGGGAGCTGGAGGGGTAGCTTTGTTTGGCGCATCACTTGAGTCGATAGCTGATATTTCAGCGATATGATTCGAAATCAGTGAAAGTACTCTAGAATGGAAATGGGGACTTGTAATTGGACTTGTGAGCATATCATACTAATAGAAAGAATAGTTAGCAAAAGCTTCAATAACTCGAGGGTTGACCTACTCCAACATCACCAGCTTGTCGCAGAACAAATTCTGTGACAGGTAAAGGTCGTTTTGACTCATGATGTCCAATGTAAAAGGTTGTGAGGTTTTCATCGTCTGCCGTGTCAGAGTTAGCATCAGCATCTGCATGCTCTCCAACAAAAGGATCCCAGGCTAGGGTACCGGTAGCCATTGTGATGAGGCGTTATGTGAAATGCGCCAGTTCTGTCTTTTGGGATCTAGGTGAACTCTAAGTTCTCGGTAGTGCGGGGTTGATTGAATTCGTTGTTGAAGAAGAGAGGGAGATATTGCGGGTACCACTACAAGTATCGTAAACCTATAGATAGTAGAATACTCCGGTTCACGAGGATCTATATATAAATTGAATAGGGTTCAATCGTAAAGGTGGTGGTTTTTTGGAGTTATTGTCCTGGATCGATGGGATGATATTTTGGTCAACTTTTCTGCCAGATTAGATCAAAGCGGTGTGTAACAGATTAGACGTCGTCGGCTACTTCCAGGTTGTATCCACCAACCTCGAGGAAGGACTCGAAATTCGAGACTTGATCTTATCACTTTATTTTCAAATTAACAAAAAACATTAATTTACATTGTTTCATTGCCAAGCTTGGATCTTATCCACCTAATAAGATATCTTATTTGTTCTGAATTTACATTGTTTCCATAATGAGTTAATGAGGAGAGAACCTTTTGAGCAGATCTAAATGGCTTTGAGCGTCTCGATTCCACCAAAGTGTTTCTGTATGAATTTACACAGTGTACCTGCCAAGTAGTCTTTGGACCACCGAAATAAGAGACAAAATCTAAGGTTCCAATGATGAGCTGGAATCATAACAAAGGAACCCTTCATGAACGATCACAAAAGTTTGTTGGCTCGATGATATGCACCACTTAATCCTAAAACGACCAAAAGCAGTCAGGTACCGTTCATCAATATGCAAGTTAACTAATGAGTCAAATGAGCTTTAATGTCAACTACATGCGCGTATCTTGAGAAAAGCAAAAGCTCATGAATAGATTCATACTTTGCTTAGAAAATCCCTTTATTCCACTACGCCTCTTGTTCTCCTTTATCTAAAATTGCGGGGTCGATGAATTTCGCGAGGCGGCGATCCCCTTTTTCTTCGTTTGTTAGATCAGAAGCGCGAGACCGCATTCTGAATGCTTTAAGTTCTAGGCTCTGGTGGAGACAGCTGAAGGATATTGTACAATGGAGAAGCAAGATTCATGACTGGTGCCTTGGTTCATTCTAGGCTTGTCCTCTGTCATCAATGTTCCATTGCCGCACCACCCCGCCTTCAAGATCCATAGACACGATGTACAAAATCAAATCGTCCGCTTTAAAAAGGAGACTGTTCACCAGACACTCACACCTATCATACTATAGGTTGTCAATACCTACTATAACAGTCTATTCTTTATGAATCAGTGAGCTTTGCAAGCCGTCAGTACTTCATAAAATTCCTTGAGCGGAGCATCTTCCGGGTATTGCCCATACAATGCATGCTGATCGTGGAGCAAAAATGCAAAAAACATACAACAGTGGGGATTCGCTGGTGGTCACCCACCCAACTACTAATCCACCGATCTGAAGCTTGTGTATGGCAGAGCGGACGGGATGCCCAATTCTCTTCAGTCTATGGTCGTATGTGAAAGACACGTTGATGTTAAGTATTATATTCAAAATATACAAGCCAAGAGAAAGGTGAAAGAAAAGAAGGAATTTTTGATACCTAAACTTCATCATATGCCCAGTAGTTTGTGGGCATTTCTAGACTATTATACACTATCTAATTGAAGAATCAGATGGTATTTGATTATACTCCGTATATCTCACAAGTTTTTCCAGTAGTAGTACACCTTGTCAAAGTAAACAAGGTTTACAAAGAGGACATATTTCTCATGTCCAATTTTGAGGTGATTGAAATGAGAAAACTCAATGTTTGGAATCGAATGGAAGATTGGAGGCCCATTGTTCGAGCCAATGGGGAATAATTAGAGACTGTAGTATAGCTATCATCAGATGGGATACTTCTGCCTTATATCCGATTCCATATGAACTCATCACTATCATCAGAGGGTACTAATATAGAATTATCATTATCTAACTACTTGTATGCTAAATCTGCAGAAAAGTCTCCAATATCTGGGTACAAGTAATGATTGATCTAAAGCCAATACACGCTTTCGGTCACTCCCTCCTCCATCTCAGCCAATTCTACTTCGGTCAGCATTCGATTGGCGTCCATGTCCAAATCACTATCCTTATCCTTGACCTCAGGTGCCTCATCATCATCATCGGAATCAACATCTTCTCTGTTACCATCTGTTCCACCGTCTCGTTCAACTCTGAGAGGGGCTTCGATGACCTGGCCAAGTCTGAACCTCTCTCGTTGTGCCTTGCCGTGCTCTCTAATCTTTCGATTTTCAGTCCAGAGCGATTTCTCCAATTCGGCCAGCTTTTCCTTATCATCTTATTCGTCCTTAATGGCAGAGAATACTTTTGAGATCTGACTCTTTGAAACAGGCACGGAAATAATGGTGTTGGACCAAGTCTTGTGATCATGTAACTCTTCCAGACTGGCAGGTAAAGTATTATCACCATCAATGTCGATAATGTCACCATAATCGAGAAGATCCATGATGAAGAGACCAAGCTTCTTGCATCTCATACCTTTAACGAGGACTGAGAGTTGACTGCGCCAAAGATCGAGATTTCCAAACATAAACAAAGTCGATTGAGCACGAGTGAGTGCTACATTCATTCGATTCCATTCTTTCAAGAAACCAATCTTTGAACCATTGGTCTTGTTTGCTGGAGTCAAAGAAAGTAAAACAATCTCATTTTGACCACTTTGAGTACTATCAATGGTAGTAAATAATGGAAATCGTCCAACGGCATCACCCCATACATGGCGAATTCTCATCTTGACTTGGTTCACCAATTCCATATTCTCCGCTTTATACGGGGTGAAGATACTAATCTTGTCGAATGGTAATGGTGCCAATCCACGAGTTGGTTGATGCTTCATGATACTCATGACCATATCAGCAATTGCATTGATGTTGGCGTGATTCAATTGAGATTGAGACCCAGGTTTCGGTGCAGACTCCCCATTTTTGACATTGATGAACATGCGACGAATTCTAGATTCATCAATCTTGAGACCAAATGCTGGCTTTCGACGATTGTCTCTATAAATCTTGGCTGGCTCTGAGTACCACCAATCTTCAAAAAACTTGAACTCATCAGACGGTACTAATGTAGAATCGTCACTCTCCAACCATTCGTAAGTCAGATTGGCAGGAAGCTCGGCAATATCAGGGTGCATGCGATAGTTGATCTTGAGTCGATAGAGTGGCATGGTTGGCTTTCCATACAAGCGTTCGTAGAGCGATAATCCGAGTTGGTCTGCGAACTCATTGTGACCGGCTGATCTTGTAAAAAGCTTTACTTTCTCAAGATCTCCAGCCAACACAATGCGCCTGGGCTTGAAGGCTAGGGGAACATAACAGTCTGGTTCGCTTCCAGCAGAAGCTTCATCAATCAATACTGCCCATGGGGTCCAGTTGTATTCTTCCAAGAGGGCAGAAGTACTAGATGTACAAACTACAATGCGAATTGAATGATCTCCAAAGATCTTCTTGGTCATGGCCTTTGTGAGATCGACGAAAGTCTCTCGCTGCTTTGATCTAATGGATACACCAAGTTTGATTTCCCCACGAGTTGATAACCAAGTTCGTGCATTCTTTCTGCGCTCGTCTGCTGGATGTATCGTCTTATCTGAAGCATCATTCTTGTAGGCCTGAATAATATGATTCCAGAGCTTGTACTTTTCGAATCCTTCGTCTTCAGTTGGTTGTTCTCCATCAGCTACCATGTCTGAAACGGTCTCGGCATCAAGGTCGTCCTGTTCCGAAACATCACGATGAGTTGCAGATTCAGTTGGTAGATAAATTACCTTAAACCACTCTTCCGATTCTGGGCAAACTTCGTACAGAGTCTTGAGGTGACCCACCAACTTTCTCATACACTCTTGTGCGGCAGTACTAGAAGTTGCAGTTAGGAGAGTTTTGATTCTCAACAATGCGAAACCAAGGGTGGCTGAAGCCACGGTAGTTGTCTTTCCGGTTCCAGGCGGACCTTGTAGCATACTCATGAAATTATTAGTGCCAAAGACACCTTGCCAAAAGTCTTCTTAAAGTCCGTTGAAGTTGCAAGCATCACGGAAGTCATTGAAAGCCCGCTTTTCCACATCTTCCATCCTCGAAAAGTGGTCTTCTTGGACCGTCCGTGCAGGCGCATCTTTGCCCGTGTAGATGTCGTCGCCGAGAAGTAAGTTTTGCAACATTGCATGTTTAACATTATGAACAGCAGGCTTTTTGCAAATACTAGCAATTGCTTTCATTTGTCGGATTTGAGGAATAGTATTTCTAGTCATGGTAAGACAGACTTTGATTTCCGTGCCTACAATCAAGCCTGCGTCCAGTACCTTGTCAGCGATCTTGACAGCGATACAGATATCTCCAGGAGAATTAGAAAGTTCAATGACTCTACTGCTATACCCTGAAAAGACTGGTTCTTTCTTCACTTGCTTTGCTTTTGCCTGCTGTCTCTGCCACTTATTACCCTTGCCCTTGCCTTTGCCGTCAGCTTGATTCTTCTTCTTGGAAGCTTCAGCCGGAGTGGGATCTTCGATTTCCATAGCGTCCGTATTAACCATAGTAGTGGCAGGATCAACTGCGACCCTCATCAGCTACTGGAGTGATCTTGTCTTCGCCTTCATTTTGACCTGGCTGCTTCCCCTTCTCCTTGTTCTTGATTGCTAGTTTTAGTCATCGCTTCGACGACCCCAGGCATAAATCGGACTTTGAGTTCTGAACCAGGAGGAGTTGGTGGCATGGGGAACTCATCACCCCTCGAAACCAGAATATGGAGGATTCTATCGCCAACTACATCTTTTTCTCCAACAATGGCGGTATGTATGACGTCCTTACCGAAGTGCATAGCAATATTCACGTTGTCCCACATGGCATCTCCAATGAGACCAACACTAAGGATTGTCTCGAGCTCCTTTGTACTTGAGAAGTTTCTCTTCGCCGGATATGAACGATATTGTATCGAATTCTTTGAAGCGGAGGGTACTTGCATCCAACGTTGACGAACGATTGGCAAGTTTGGATTTCCTTTCTCGCTATGCCATCTATCGAATTGATTTTCAGCCATGTTTCCAATGTAATTGTTGTAGAATGACCAATCGCGGCTCGAATGGGCCAAGTTGAGACAATTCGACCAATATGCGTTGATGACTGGAAAGACGTGTTGTTGTGCTCGAATGCAGATAGTATCGTTTCGGCCACGATTCAGCTGCCCAAGTATTGAATTTGCGAGGTTTTGGTGACGCAATTGAGTCTCAGTGAGATCCTCTTTCTTCAGTGGCAGTTCGGGTGTTCGATCAAACCAAAATTTGCCTTCCAGTTCAAATTCCATGAGGTGGAGATTCTTAGTATCCACAGTGAAGATGTCATTTATCGATTTGATGACTTCGTCGCGGAGATTGACATGGTACGATTTCTCGAGGGCATCCTTCAATACTTTGCTATCCCTGGCAAAAACTTTTGTGTCGATTAAACCGCGCGATTCATTTGCACTCACATCTCTCTTGAAATGGTTCGATCTGAGTTGAATCTGATAGCCGCCTTGAAGAATTATCACGAGGGCTGGAGCTTGATTGGTAGTAACAAGCCTGACCTTAGCCTCCACGAAGATTGAGATCCCCTGTTTGACCGCGTCCGTCGATCGAAGCTTGAGGAGAATTGCACATTCTCTACTCTTAAGAATAGACTTCGCTTGATTGAATCTTGGGAAGTCGCGGCCTCTTGGTCCGGCTACATCCCATCTATCCAGCAACTTCGCAAGTGGTTCGTTAGGGAAATTCTCGCCTAGTGACCCTCCTTTGGCTTTCTTCGCGTTCGAACTGACTCCCAATCCGGCTCCTGATTCGGCTGCCTCCGCTTCAGCCTTTCGCTTCAGCATCTTCTGCTGTCTTTTAGATAGAGGCGCATCCGGTGCTTGTCGATTGATATCGGCTACAGGTACAGTAGTACCTGTGCCGGTCAAAGGTTGATCGCTCGGTTGACCCGAGCCGGTCTTTGAAGGGGCCGAAGCCACACCGAAGGTTGACGGTTAGGGAACCATTTTAAAGAACCAAGTTTCGTGACAACAAAGCCACAAGCCCAAAATTAAGTAGGTTCGAACTTCACAAGCAGTTAAGCAGGTGAAGAGCTTAGTCAAAGACTTCTTAAAATCTCAACGAAGAGATTAGAAGAAGGTAAATGACAGGTAGATGAATCGATGATCCGTAGCCGAAGCGACTTCACAAAGATTCTATAAGATAGAATCACGTCTCCGCAATTCCAAATAAATAAAAAGAATACCTTTCGACCGAAGCCGATTGGTAGAAAAAAGGCGAAAGTGGGTGTGATCACGGCCTTTGGTAAAACCGCAGGCCGGACAGAGATTTATACTGGGAATACCAGCGTGAGCTCGAGTTGTTGCAAACCAATTTAAGATTGCGGGTGTAAATTCTCAGATCGATAATTGCTAGAAATTTGATTGATGTATGCTGTTGTTGCGGGAAAGAATTCGAATGTTGTGAAATTCAAAAGTGTGTTAAAGCTGGGGAAGCGAAGCGATTTTGACCATGCGATCACAACAAACCAATTTCGAAGGCGGTAAGAGAATTTATTATCATTTAGCAGAGAATATTGGGCACAATTCGCCCATTGCAGCACTGCCAAAAATTCAAGATCGATCAAATAGATAATAAAATAGCTGTATATATATCTATTGCACGGTTCGCTGATAACAGAAGAAGAAGAGATGCGTTGAAAAGACCTCCCATTTGATATCATTGAAGATTTCTTTACGTCCATCAGGAAAAGAAGCTCCCCAACCCCTTTCTGCCTTACACTTCGGTATGAAATAAATGCGCCAAAAAAATCTACTCCAATCGTTTCCACAACCGTTCTGGAACAATTACCACCCTTCTCTTGTGTACCTAAGTCGTATATTGTTTCTATTCTTCAAGGAAATGCCCACAAACACCAAAAAATTAAGCGTATCTCAAGCTGCGTCCCGGTCTCAAAGGTTGCAGGTTCCAAACTCTTGTTCATCTCGTTGATGATGCACCATTCAATGGCACCTGAGCCAATGTGTCGAAGAAAATCTCATCAACCTGTTGAGATTTCTTCTTAGACAAGGTAGCGAGGATCAAATCCTCGATCTTCTTATCCTTCTGGGATCGAGCATAGTCCAGTGCTGTCTTACCCTTGTCATCCTTAACATCAATAGCAAGGTCCTCTTGAGCTAGAAGAACCTTTGTGACTAATTGCAGCCGAACTGCGCGATTCAATGGCGTACGTATATTACCATCCACTGCCTTTATGTTGACATTTGCGCATCCAAGCAGGAATTTCACCATCTCAAAACGATTACGCTCGACGGCAACGTGCAATGGGCTTGATTTCAAAGAATTGGCTAGATTTACGTTCGTGCCAACTTTTACAAGAGCCTTTGCAAGCCCAGTATTGTCAGTGGCGCTTGTCCGGCATAACGCGGTGCAGCCATTGTCGTCCAGATCATCCACTGCCATGTGGAATCTCTCAACCCATAATCTAACATCCTTTTCGGAGGCGATATGTAGAAGAATACCCCCGCATAAAAATCTCGTCTTCAGGATCCAGTCCAATTCAGACCGCTGAAGCGACAAAAGCTTTTGTATGAGACTAAAACCATTATATTCCACCTCCTGCCTGTATTGGGAAACTGTCACAAGACGGCGCATCTGCTGATCTCGTAAAACTGATAAAACGAGAGGGGTGAATGTAGGAGTCGGAGAGAATTCTAAATGAGGAAAGCCTTCAGCTCCATTCTCTAGAAATAAAAGAATCAGGCTCGCATTCCCCTTCCAAAAAGCAAGGGTCGCCGGTGTTTGATATTTGTTGTCCTGAAGATTCTTCAATTCAGGATATTGGTCGAGCAATAATCTTGCAATCTCAATATTCCCGGTGGAAACTGCGATGTGCAAAGGTGTCCAGCCGTCGATCTTTCTCTTCATGGTACACTTGGCACCATTTTTGGGCAGTGTCTTCACAACTTCCGTACGTTGCGATTCGGTCGCTAGCGATAGCGGTGTTTGAACTGATGTGTCTGTGGTATTTATGGCAGCTTTGTGTTGAACAAAAAAATCTCAACACTTGTAACGTAGCCCTGTTCAGCTGCAACATGTAAGGATATCCTTCCATTGGGCAAGGTGGTATTGACATCGAATCCATCTATCCTGAAAAGATCTCCCAAGGATCTAGTCGTGCCACAGCTCGCGGCATCGTATAATGGTGTGTACCCGTCACTATTCTTGGTATTAATGGAAGCTCCGCGGTCCAACAGTAGTTTCAGAGTTTCTCGTGAGTTTTGTGCCGCAGCGTGATGAACGACTGTTTTAACATCTTCGCTTCTGGTATCAAGCGCGGTTTCTCCATTGTTGTTCTTTATGGAAGTACTAGCTCTGGCACGGAGTAAATCCCGTATGATAGGGAAGCGGGGGCGCCTTTTCAATTCCAAATGCAAAGCTGTATCTCCTTGAACATCCTGATCATTGATATCAATTCCGCTATCTATCAGAAGTTGCACAAGCTTACTCCCTCTCCTATGCTGTACAGCGGAGTGAAGTGCAGTATGGAGTTCCGTATCTTTTGTTGACATATCTGTACCGAGACCTATAAGCGTTTCGACTGCAAGATCACAACCACATCTAATTGCATACATCATTGGAGTCTCGTAATTGATATCTCCAACGTCTATATGGACTGCCTTGGAGCTGACGAGGTACTCGATGACTTCCTTAGAATAATTATTATTCAGAACAGAATAGTGCAGAATTGAATTACCCATGTTGTCTGTCAAATTGAAGACAGCTCCCTTAATTCTCAAGAGCTTCAGTGTCGCCACGTTTCCGGATCGAGCGGCAAAGTGAATTGGTCTTCTACCTTCGTTGTCTTTCTGATCTAGCCTGAGCTTAGCATCTACGAACAGTTCGATGGCTTCTTGGTCTGCGTCGGGCCGTGAAGCTGCACGATGCAGTAGGGATGCGCCATCCTTGTCGATGAATGATACTTCAGCACCTCTGACGATCAACAAACAGATTACATCTGTGAATTTCCACAGAGCGGCGAGATGCAATGAGTAAACCCATATTTGTCTATAAAATTGACATTTGCCTTTTTGTACATTAAGAGCGAGAAAACTCCTTGCGGTGTGGTATGTTTATGATTGGATATCGCTCGACGGAGAACATCAGAAGAGCTCGTGAGATTCGTCTTTTCAATTAGAACCTCTATTGTCTCTCTAGCAGCTGGGGTTCTCCAATCGCCGTATGTGACTGCCAGTTCGAGTGCTGTTTCTTTTCTCTTGTTGACGGCATCAATGGAACGAGATTTGAGGAGCAACTTTGCCATGATGCCCGATGGCTGCTTAAGAAACCGTGCTAAATAGTGGCAAGCTGTTTCGCAGAGTTATCGACCGCGTCAACATCCACGTTGTCGTTTTTCAGTAGCTGTAAGATCAGCTCTATCAGCCGGCTTCCATTGCCACTCGTGTGGGCATATTTTTCAAGCTCGGCTATAGCTCAATGCAGCACGGTTTGGCCTTTGATGTTGACTTCATTGATAATCTCTCCGTTGCCGGGTAGAAGTTTCTTCACTATACTCATTGGTAAATTCTTGTTAATTATAGCAAAATGTACTACAAACCCCTGGTGTTTCAGGAGCTTGGTACTAATGTTGGGTTTGAAGACTTGTACAATACTCTCCATATCTCTCACTATTCGTGAGGAGTCTGCGACAAGATACGATAAAGGTGTTCGGAAATGTATGTCTACGAGGCGAGCCACGAAAATGAGAGTCCAGACTATCCATTGCCTTTCTCTTAACTCAGAGCTATTCACTGGCGTATAATCATTTTTATAAATACAATCAAAACTATATTAGACGATGCTGATAGACCAGTACTACATCTATCCGAACCTTTTCTATGTGTCCATTCATCTGTAATGAACCTCTCAATAGTGGCATCACCTTCCTCGTTCCTGATCACATTTTCATTATCCTACTACTAAAATTGCTTGCTCGCAACCAAGATTGAGCTTCGGAATGATTGATTCTGTGTGACCATCTTAGACTTCTAGACCGCCAGCATATAATGATATTAAACATTTCCAAATCCATCTTGATATAATTTTCCCCTTTGCTAGCGCTGTTCTCTTTGATAATGAATATCATAGCTGGAGTAACAAGATGGTGACCCAGACCGGAGATGAAAGGACGTGATAAGTAGGGGGTTAGTATGATTATCCGTCCTTATATTGAAGGGGTCTGCAGCTATATATATATATATATATATATATATACCTAGTAGATGTAGCGAAATGATAACTTGATATATCGTCGAATTATCTCATCTTTCGAAGAAGTCTTCATTCTTAAACTTATTTCTCACGTGATTGTTCGAAGTCGAAAAGTTTTGTTGCATATCTGATATTGGATATCACAATCGACGACGTCGATTACGGTTTTAGTTTCTGTCAATTTCAGATGTGCAACAAAAGGTATCAAGGATTGATTTGGTTGGCTGGCTGATACCGAAAGTATTTACGTATGTATAGATATTTTGCTTTAGACTCCGTCGATGGAGAATCATGCTTCCATGATGTATTTGCTTTCGATTGGAAATCAAGCGGCAGCTTAGCCATGGAGTTTAAGCGGCCAGACTCTGGGGGTTACTATTACAGCGGCTGCAGTACCACCCAACAATGTTGTTGGGACCTAATTAAGTAGTATATCCGCAGAGCTTAACAAAGCCGGCGACATTTGATACCCTGCATTCATTCAGCTCATCATCAAATGAGACCTATCATGCATATGCAGAGTGTAACGAAACTGAGGGGACTACAGGCCTGTGATTTTCTTCAAACTCACATTTGGTCATGCCGTCGAGAACAGAGCATCTGCACTGCCTGTTAGTACCACTCATCGATGTTTTCGGCATCCGTAACAAAGTGATGTGTGTATTAAAGGTAGTAAAAATTGGGGAGAAAAATGGTATTCCTCAAGGCCAATGTTCGAGGATGTTGTAATTCTAGAAGTGGTATCGCTTATTTCCAGCCTCAAATCACCTTATCAATAGACGGAGTACATTGTGCATACACAGAAGGAAAGCAGAGAATACCGGAACCCTAAAGAGTGGTGTTGGTTTCGGTCGATATCCGAGGAGGCTGAAGCTCCCGTTGGCATAAAGCAGTATTCCTCCAGACATATATCTGATTACACCATCAAAGAATGGAGTCTTTCCCCTTGTGTTAGGCTAGCGTTCACCTTCCTCCCTTTTTGAAGAGGGCAAATGAGCGTATTTTTAAGGAAAGAATGTATGGAAAATAGGCAAGGTCAAAGAGTTTTCCTGGGACTCGGGAGAAGATTTAAGGGATTTGAATCCGTTGGTTGTACATAACGCCAGGTCATTCCTTAATGTCCCCGGGTTTATCCCGAAATTAGTCAGGTTCATTCTCACAACTCTATACTGTTGAATAGCCGGGGGAAAATCTAAGATTTATCAGACTTCTCCTCCAGGGGAGCGGAAATTACATGGTGTCTTCTCTGAATATCCTCAGATATTTATGAAAGATAATTGAAGTTGGGGTGAACGACTGGGATTCAACCCTTGGTCTCCAAAATGGTACATGAAAAATACCATTACTCATCGAAAGTACTAACAGAGTCCAGCGTTCTCTACTAGCAGTGAAGTATAGCTACGAGTTTCAGATGTCCGATCACTTGCTCCTCTCGCTCCTTCGAATTCCTGCTGAAATATGTTTAACGACCGAGAGGAATTTCTCTTAATCCATACTTCTCATGCCCAAGATGAGCTTGATTTAAAGCTGGAGATTTCTGCGACGATAAAATTTTATATTGATATTGAGAAATAACTAGGGCTAACACCGGTAGGTGGCAAGTGAACAATACTACTTAGGTATCGCCAATAAACTATCGTCTCATCGACCAATCAGACACTCTGAGCATGCTTACTGTTTACGGGCAGCAGATTCATAGGTCCAGACATGCAACAAAACTACTGAAGAAATGATCTACAGAGTAATTGGTTACCCGGTCCTCGGGATGAAATAAATTGAATGATAGGAAATGTAATTTTTAAGAAGAAATGAGAAGAGATACTAATCAAAAGATATACGGGACTTTTTGTAGTGATCAGCAATGGAATACGATATTCGTCCGTGTACGAGAACTTTCTCACACCGGACACTTTTATATAATGGAGTTGGGTAGGCGTGGTGGATATATCGTGAAAGTACCGAGTGTACTTCGTATCGTGATAAATGTAAAGTTCGTGTGGAAGGTTCCAAGTATTCACATGTATGTGGCGATACGAGCTACTTTGATCTTTAATTGGCTTTCAAGATATATATCCTATTTAAAGATGTCGGTATTTTGACATATCGATAAAACTATTTACCCGTGTTGAATGGAACTACCTACCTAGTAGATACTACATATCCGTGTTACTATAATTTTACATGGTCTGTTGAACCAATATCAATTCCATCTCAATCTCAATCTCACCTTCACACGACAGGACCCGTTGAAATATATGTTTATTTTCACGTCCCAACATATTGAGCAACCTCCTTGATTTCTTGGAATACTTTGTACATCGTACACCAAAGATCAACACACGGCTAACGGCAATTGATAAATGTAGATAGATGTCATCGGGATTATCTCGGATCTCGGATCTCCATTCACCTCATTGGTTCAATTTTGCATCCCCTTTTCTTTTTTTACGGATTACCATGGTGGAATGGCCGGTCGGACAAATTGTGATGTAATTGAGAGAAAATCACCGTTGGGTGTCTCGTGGTTGTGGTACATCAATCTTTATCAATCTTCAACCTACGAAGTAGTATCTTCTTCATCAAATGATAAAACAATCGACATGAAACGATTCAAACTCTCATATTTAGGTACAAAGATTTCATCCTGAAGAGGAAGCGGTTATTAATTTCATCTCAATCATCCTCATCACATCATTAACCTTTCCTATTCCAGATTAGTCTCATGTCTCGTATTGAGTTTAATCTCTTATCAGAATTAAACCTATCATGGATTAGCCCCAATCGGGCCCCTCCATTATTCCAGTATTTGACCGTGTCATCCTTCCTTCAGTCCAAATAAGCTTCATGTGCTCCACCTTTTATTTTTGAAGTGAAGTGAAGCTTCCTTGATCTTTCTTTTACTCTTCACCTCTCTTACTTACTTCTCCCTCCTCTCTGCTCTCTTGCTCGTGAATTTTGCAAGAACGATTGATTTAATTTAATTTTGTGTTGGAAATCCTCACTTCACTCGTTTGAAAGGCTTTCGAATTTCTAGTAATAATACTTCTCTCTATATTTGCACTCTCAAAGATTTGGTCCATCCCATCTTTGCTCTCCCATTTGCTCTCGTTTTTGTTCTTGGTATTTTGGACTTGATTTTCTCTTGTAGAAGATTTGTTTACAGTACTACCTACTCACCTACCTACCAATTACTTACTTAATTTTTGGAGGAAATCAGAAATCATGTTGTCTACTATGGTATGTTTACAAATCCTCGATACCTTGCAGTTTGATGGCTTGAATGGCTTCGATGGCTTCAATGACTGAAACACAACGGCTTTCATTGCACTTAATCGCACCGTGAACCGTTAAACATATGCATAATCTATCATATCGATTGTTGTGCAATTATATTCAAAACTAATTTGTACTCATTAATTTAGATTCCCACAACCGTCCTCGCACTTTGCGCAACAGTTACACTCGCTGTACAAACGATAGAAATTCAAGGTTCCGATTTTGTCAACACTGTTACCGGTGATCGATTCCAACTTTTGGGTGTCGCATATCAACCAGGTGGATCTTCAGGTTATAACCCTTCGAGCGGTGTTGATCCTTTGAGTGATGGAGCCGTCTGTTTGAGAGATGCCGCTCTGATGCAACAATTGGGCGTTAATGCTATTCGTGTGTATAATGTGGATGGAAATTTGAATCATGATGAGTGTGCCAGTATCTTCAATGAGGTGAGTGATTTGTGGCTTCAGTCTGGACTATAGATAACTAACATCTTTTTAGGTCGGCATTTATATGTTGATTGATGTCAATTCTCCTTTATCCGGCGAGAGTATTGATAGAAGCTCTCCATCGACCACATATGATGTTTCATATTTGAACAGAACCTTCGCAGTTGTTGAGGCCTTTAAGGATTACCCAAATACTTTACTTTTCTTTGCTGGAAATGAAGTTGTTAACGATGATGAGACTGGAGGAACCGTTCCCCCATACATGAGAGTAAGTTTCCAAAACAGACTCTCCATCCCGCCCCAAATAAACTAACACATATAGGCCGTTACTCGTGATCTTAAGAACTATATCTCAAAGCATGCTTCCCGCTCCATTCCAGTTGGTTACAGTGCTGCAGATGTTCGCGATATTCTCCTCGATACATGGAATTACCTTCAATGCACTACTACCGGAGATGATTCCGATCCATCAAGAGCCGACGTCTTTGCTCTCAACAGTTATTCATGGTGTGGAGATTCTTCATACACGACTTCCGGTTATGATGTTCTTGTTTCGGATTTCAGCAATACTAGTGTTCCCGTTTTCTTCTCCGAATATGGTTGTAACGTTCCAGCTCCTCGTGTTTTCACAGAAGTTCCAGTTCTTTACGGTCCATTGATGACTCCAGTTCTTTCCGGTGGAATGGTTTATGAATTCTCTCAAGAAACCTCAAACTATGGATTGGTTACTATCAATGATGATGGATCTGCTCAACTCCGTTCCGATTACAACACACTCCAGGATCAATTCAACACCCTTAACATTACTAGCATTCAAGGAGTCAAGGCACAAAACACCACTACAACCGCACCATCCTGTGATTCATCTCTCATCACTAGCACAAACTTTGCCAATAACTGGACTATCCCAGCTGTTCCACCTGGAGCTGAAGATCTTATCAACAATGGCATTAAAAATGCCAATAATGGAAAGATTATTTCGGTTTCAAGTACCAAGGTCACCCAAAAAGTTACCGATGTTGGAGGAAATACTATTTCTGATCTTGCCATCAAACCATTAGCAAATGATGCAAGTAACACACCATCTGGTGAATCTACTGGCTCAAATGCTACATCTAGTTCTACAACTTCATCTTCATCTTCATCAACTGCTACTGGTACTTCATCCGCTGCTAGTTCTACAACTACCAAGAAAAGTTCGGCTAGAAAAATTGAAGGTAGTATGATTGCTTTGGTAGCTGTTCTTGGTGTTGGATTGGTCTTGATCTAAATTCACTTTTTATACATTTTTCTTTTACAACATTTCGATTCTTGCACATCTTTGATTTTTATCATTATCGCATGCATACGCATTTTCATTGTACATTTGCTTTTGTACATGATGTGGCTGGATTCCACCGGATAATATAAGTCATGAGAAAAGTAATGGGGATGATTTTCTTGGGGAGTTTTGTTTAGGGTGGTATGGATTGGTGGACTTGATGGTATTATTCAAAGAATGATACTGGATTTTTGATGGTGAGATTTTGGGAGAGCAATTTTGGAGGGAGATTTTGGGGGATTTTGGAGGAAGTTAGATTTTGAGGATGATATGGCCTATATATGGGCTTGATGTTTTGGGGTGGTGGTTTTGTGAATCAAGGAAAATTAATGAATAAATGTGATACCTTTCTCAAGTGTATTATCTCTTGCGGTGAAGTTGTGATGGGATGAAATGATGATGATGTGTTGTGGATCAGAAAGTTTGACACGAAAACTGGTGGATTGATACGATTATGTGGTTGGTGGGTAGTAGGTAGGAGATGGGAGATGGGAGAAAAAGTAATGATGAGAGTATGAACAACTCTAAGAGAAAGGTAAGTGATTTCGATAGTATAAACTACATGATATCAAATTTCGTACAAGAAAAATCAAAGTGGTATAAGAAGGTAGAGGGGGAATTTAAAGAGATAGAATCGGGATAAGAAAGGGAATGGGGATAGTGTTGGGATTATGGGATGTGGATTATTTCTGTTGTTCTTTTTTGGTATTTGGGTGGAGAGAGATTGGAGAGAGATTAGATTGGACTGAATTGCAGAGTAAGTGTATATGTGAGTGTGAGGATGTTTTGTCTTGATATATGGTGCTGGTTTGGGTTGGTTGGATTGGCTGTGAGTTGGAGGTTGGAGATTGGAGACGGGAATGGGAAGTATGGAGAGGGGGATGAAAAGATGGTGGGATTTTTGAAGGAGGTGAGATGGGGGAAATGAGGGGATTGGGATTAGGGATTTGAGATTGAGGTTACGAGAAAGAGGTTATGAGAAAGAGGGAAAGGGAAAATCGCTATAGGGGTTGAGGATATAATAAAAAGAGAAGGGAATCCTGATATAATCAAATTTGTTTATATAAGGAATACGGGAGGGGTATAAAACACATGTGATGTTAAGCGAAGGCGGACTTACAATTCGTAGTATGAATGTTGTTTATTTGAGAAAGGAAGGAGGGGGATTGGGGTGTTGGGGAGGAAGTTGGATGGGTTGGGTGGGTTGGGGGTGGAAAGGTTGGGAATGGAGTGGGGGTGTGAGTAGGGGTGTGAGTGGGAGATTGTATTGTTTATGAGAGATGTGAGAGGGGATGTGAGAGGGGATGAAGGGATGGATGGATGGATGGATGGATGGATGGATGGATGGATGGATGGATGGATGGATGGATGGATGGATGGCTGGATGGATGGATGGATGGATGGATGGATGGATGGATGGATGGATGGATGGATGGATGATGGATGGATGGGGAATTGGTCGAGGGAACGAAGAGATGTTATTTTGGTTAGATGGATTGGGGGGGCGGGAATGGAGTGTAGGTAGGACCACCTGGTGAGGAAATTGGGAAATAGGGAATTAGAGGGGGAAGGTGAATGAATATATGGGATTTGGACATTGAGGATGAATAGTGAGAATGGATGGTGAGGATGGATAGTGGGGAGGGGGATGAGGAAGAGGATGTGTGATGATGAGTAAGAGGTGTGTATCCGGAGTGTATGGTATTGATGTGAATGATTTTGCGATTTCGAGAATGTGAGGGAGTAGATGGAGGATTGGAGAGGTTTGACTGGGTGATGAGGGGTGGTCATCAATCATTCTGGTACCATGAATTATCTACTTATAAAACGATTGCTAGTGGGATCCCAGGCGCATGAAAATAGCTTTTACCTTAATTTATATTTATATATCCAAAAGGGATGAGATGTGAAAACAAATCCAAAGAGCGAAATAAACGATCCAATGGATTGACAATCAACTCGTAATACACAAGCGGAATAAATATGTAACCCAACTCCAAATATATTTATCCACGGAATCACACCATCACATTATCACATCACAAGATAAAACCAAAAACATCAAAGGTTGGAAAACATTCTAGATATGTATTCACAAAATAAACCCCTCATGGGATGCATCCTCCAGAAAATAAATGTATATACAAAATCTGCCTCTAGCACATCAATTAGATATTCCTCCATGTGTATCTGAAATGTCCATCAATTATCAGGTCATAAGAAACTGTTAATAAATATTCAATTCAGATATTCGGGAATAATCGTCGCGATTACTGTAAGGCTTAATATTAGCTTTAAACTTCTTGTGTGACGCTTGGTGATTTTTGCTGTTGTGTGATGTCGTGTTTATTGTGTGATGTGCGTGGTGATGTATGATGTGTGATGTAAGAAGAAATAAAGATATCGAAAACTGGTAAACTATTTGTGAAGACCTAGTCTCACTCTATCCATTTAAGCAGCCAAACACTGGGAGTAATAAGCATTTTGCTCGACACAGGTACCCGTGGCACAAGCGAGTCCTCCCGTGCAGTTACCATATAAAGGAACAGAACCAGTGGATGAAGCAGTGGTGCTGGTGGCTACAGCGGCAACACTGGTTTTGGTAGAGCTGGCTTTGGTGGTGGGGATGGCTGCGACGGTGGTTTTAATGGTGCTGGTGACTTTGATGGTGGAGGTGGTGGTGGGGGTTGCTTTGCTGGATGTGACGGGGGTGGATGAGCTGGCTACAACTTTGACGGCACTTCCCTGGGTGATGGAGACGCTGTAGGCGGTGACGTCGAAGACGGCGTTGCTACCTGGAGGTGGGATTAGTATCTTGGATGTGAAATTGAGAATGGATTTCTTACCGGTGAAAGGTTCGGTTCCGGCTTCCAAAACGTTAATGTATTGGCTAGTAGACCATCCTTCATTGGTAGCCAAGTAGTTCAAGAAATCCATCAGATCACCATTGAAATTGGTGGCTTCAGTCGATGCAACGAATGAGTAAACAGTAGTATCTCCGTTGGGTCCAGAGTACAATTTGAATTCATAACCAGCAATGGTGGCGGTAGCGATAGGGGAACCGGTGGAAGAAATTGGTCCAGCTCCTCCGATGGCGGCTAACCAAATCATGATTTCATATTCGTTGGTTCCTCCAGCGGTAGAGGCAGTGAAGATATCCCAGGAAACATCAGCGACGATGGATGAACCGGTGTATCTATGAAAAGATTAGATTTCTATTTTTATTTTATTTTTTAAAAATAAAAGTGAAGATAAATGCTTACCCCCATTTCCAAACCGCAGGAATGGCAGAGATCGAAGAAACTTTGACACCAGCAGTAACAACCGAGTTCAAAGCCACATTGGCATACGACTTAACGCTGCTTGAAGCACCCGCCCAACTCCACGATGTGGACCAAACAATGGTCGATCCACTCAAGGAAGTAACGGTCGAACATTGAGATCCGGATGTTGCTGAATCTTTACCCCAGAGATCTTGGTAAACGGTATAAGCACCCGTGGCAACACTATCATATTGACCGCAGATTTGAGTTGATCTCGCTTTCAAAGTTTTGTCGGCAGCTGGAGCGGCGAAAGCAGCACCGGAGAAAAGAAGAGGAAGTGCGACCTGCGTAAACTTCATTTTGATGGATGATTTTATTTTTTGCGAAAAAAGGAGGGTGAGGGTTTAAAAATAAGGGATAGAATGGTTTGTACAAGAAAGAATGAATCAACCTTTTGATTTTGATGGCCAAGAGGAATGGAAAATTGGCAAAGGAAGAGGAAGAGTTATATATGAGAATGAAATGATGTAAGCATCTGGTTATTATGCGTCTCGAAGGAGGAGTGGACGTCGCGCCACTCTTTCGAGATAGATGAAAAATAAATGAAGTAAGATGAGTTGAGGGGTAGAGATGGATCTTTCGATAAGCGACATGGAAATGGAGGGAATGGAATTGGGTGTTTCATTTGGACAAAGATAGTTAGATGTTCCGTGTTGCGGAAAGATTTCAGGGGTAATTTGTGGGGTACATGAGTCTAAACATTTTACCGATCCAATGATGGAGTTTCTGAGGATGGTGATCATGGTTCTTGGGATGAAAGTTTGTGATGGATAAAACAAGGTAAATCGATGTCCTCGTGGACCGTTTCGTTTATTGACAGACTGGGCAACAGCGGGTATGTATTGTGGATGCTTTTGACAAGCATAACAGCGTGGGAAATTCTCCTTGGCGCGAAACGATTCTTCCAGAAAATGTATACTTCGGATGTCATGTCATTTGAAGATTCATGTAAGTTACCTAGTCTGGACTTGGGGTACTGACGAACGAGTAACTAAAAATAGGAGAACCATGGAGAATTATTGAAAGTATATTCGCAATATCCGATTTTAATAAATTAATCATTTTTATAGTATGTTTGGAGATTCGATCTGGAAGACTTATATAATACTCTGTACTCCGTATCTTTTTTTCAATATTCCTCGGGAGCTATCCGAAAGATCCGAGGGGACCGATTGATGAAAGGAATGGTTCACCATTCACATATTGTTTGTGAGTATACTCCTGATAGAGAGTATATTCCTCCCCTTAATAACCACATAATTAAAGCGAAAAAGAAGAAAATCCTCAAATGAAAAGAAAATCTTTCAATAATCCTTCATGATTCAACTTGCATCAATTTTGCTTCTGCAGTTCCAAAGTATCCGGGTATAATTGAGGAGAATGTAACCTAAGCGAGCTGAATTGGCGCCGTCTGTAGGTGGGAATTTTTAACCCCGGATTTCTGCTTTTAGAAAAGATGATGATGATCAACGAAATGAAGTTTTACCGCGTGTGAATCTACCGAGGTATTAAGGGTGAATGGAGTATGAATTCTTGAACTCAGATCCGAATTCGGGTTCTGTTATCCGTCTATGGTAATACAGAATATTATAAAGGTCAGATGTACCTATGTAGATCCATCGATACCAGGTGACTTGCCGGTACCTGGATTGGACTCCACCGAACAAATGTTGTCTTGAGTCAGACAGTTTGCAGCTGATGGATACCTTACCGGTACATGTTGATACGATACGGAAATTAATATTCCTCCATGGAATTGTGAGATATGAGACGATTCTTCCGTATTGCGAATTTTGAGTGTGTAAATATGGAGTATATGAATCAGGTGCTTGAAGGGATGGAGTGTTATTGGGCACGTTTGAAGTTATCCCGATGTTTAATATTCGGGTCTTTGGGGTATAATGATAGTGTATTCTTTCGATGTGGAAATGGATGCTGTATGTTGGAAATGTAGTACGGAAATCTTTCATCTTGTAAAGATGAAGATTGAATTAATTTCTTCAATTGAGATTTGAGGGGAATGGATTGATAATAGGCTCGTGATTGCTATGATGCATATTCCGGACATCGTTTTCGTGATTATAAAAGTAAACATTAACCTCCTTATCCTCCGATAATATTCAGAATTTTTTAGCATAAGATTTACATATTAATTTAATGCCACAGTCAAATACATAGGCAGTATCTCATACCATCAACAATCAAGAAAATAATCGTGAAATCTATCCATCCACAAACGATCCGTCATCAAATCCATCTAAACATCATTTCCGAATCCTCATTCAAAGTACCTAAACCCAATCTTTCATAATCCGCATACATCCAAAAATATTATATTGCAGAGAATATATATTGAATCATCTCTTACAAATTCTCATCTGAGTCTAGAATTCCTTTCAAAATCCAGATATTCGAGTTTCGTAAAATATATACTACTAACACTCAGAATTTATGTTCTAATCCTTCGGAAAGGCTGGGAAATGTGATGAGGAGAAATAGTATTTTTCTCCGCATGTTTGAATGATTTATTAAGGACTATATTCTATAGATCAAGTAATAAATGTAATACAAGAGGAGGAGAAAAGAAAGAAAAGAAAGAAAAGTAGAAAAGTAGAAAAGTAGAAAAGTAGAAATTACTAACCCCCTGAAAATTACCTCCTGATTTATGATTTTATCATTCGATATCTATCTATATCCTATAAAGGGCTTATATATATACATATATATACCTTGAAAACCGATGAGATGAATAATCTTAATTGTAGATATATCTTAAAGAGTATATACTAGATAGATAGTATAATTATCGATTTATAGATAGTATCGATAAATAATAGATATTTGAATACTGAGTATATTATTTGTTTTTTGTTTAGGATATATAGATACCTACCTAAGTATCTAGTATTAATTCATAATTAATCCGGACCTATGTACTCGAGTATTTAGATAACCTTGGTATACTGTACTAGTATAAGATGAATCTTCTTAATCAAGGGATAGGGATCTTCAAACTGCCGATGGTATTACCGCTAATTACCGTTAACACTACCGTTAACACTCCCGTTCACACTACCGAACATACCCCACAATCAAGGAAGCACCTAGGTAGTATTCTCTCTTCTCTCCTCTTCCCCTCATCCCTATCCTTAACATATTCATATTCATATCCAGTACCTATCTAGATATCTATCATACACATAATAAATTTATAAAACCTGTATCGAAACATCATTTCCACTTCACATTTAAAATCAAAACACACACACATCTCCTCTTCAATAACAGCCAGCCCAGTATATAAATCATTTTTGAATCGCTCGCTCAAATCAACTCAACAGCGGTAGTCGATACTTTGTACTACTGTACCGGCGTGGCAGTAGCAGGTATATATATACATACCTAGGTATGCAAGACAAGCCAAGTTGACAAGACATGATCCGTGCATCTACCGTTGATCTAGTCTCTATTGGGAATAGTTTCCATCAATAATACTCTTTTCCAACTTCACTCCATTCATTGTAAATCATGAAAATTATCAGATGAGATGTTTATAATGATTTGTAGAAGAGTTTGTTCATGAGATTGTATTTTGTAAAGCTTATTGTTATCAGTTTACTTCTATCTGTTTTGGGTTCCTATCTTCTGGTTTTTGGTGCTTCATTTTGACTCATCTTGACTCTATTTGTCCTTATCCTGTCTCTACTCAGGCTTCATAAATCCTACCTACCTGATAACTTCAGACTCCATCAATAGATCAAAGTCTTAACTGCTGATCATCAGGTATATAACCCATTCGCAATACTATCAATCATCACTTCCTCAATAGAAACCAACAATCCATCATCGATCTTACTACCCATACCACTTCCACACCAATCATACAGACCAACCAAAAACCTAACCATGAATTTCGAGTTTCATATAACGAACCTCAGGGACTCCCGGAACCCAAAATTCAGAACTCCTGTACGGATATTAGTATTTGTATATCTTCAGGATTGAAGAAAATTATACTCACGTTCCAATATTGGGAACACCACGATTTATAAATTCCTCTTCCATCCAAGGTTCTACATAATAGTCATGTCTATCCAGATCATATGCTGTAGGGTTATCATATTGGATCCCAACAGGTTTTGGCCCCCCATCTTTTAACCATGTCAACCCCCCATCTCGAAGCCATTCTCCCCAAACGTTGTACCAATCGTCTGGACAATCTTCATTTACACGGTTAGTAAATGCAGCATGCCCCAACAAACTATCGAAGCTGAAATGTGCATCTGTATTTATATCTAAGCCTCGACGTTTCGAGTCATCGATGAAGGGTGTAAATCAAAAATCTCTGGGGCCTTGTTTGGAGATGTAGTCGGAAAAAGAATACAGGTAAACCTTTGACGCACGCTTTGAAAATTTCGCGCCCTGACAGCTTTCAAAGAAGAAATTCATTCCTACAAGTCTGTAAGGATCTTGAGTGAGACCTCTCGAATACTCATAACTGAAATGCTCGTGAGCAATTTGATTTTTATAATCTTCATTATCTTTGTGGGGCTTTGGATCGACATTGTTGAGCTTGCCTACATTAAAGGTAATTGTGGATATTTCTTCGGGGATCTGATTCCAAAAACACTCGGATTCGATAAAGTTGAAACGACCCATTGGACATATAAGATCATTTTTATGACAGTAAATCCGAGGCTCAAGTATTGAGTGACTTTCCGAGGGGATTTTGGACATTCCAAAGTGACAACCAAGGCCGAGTTCATAATATTTCAGACCAATATACCGTGAGAGGCAGCTGACATGTAAAATCGGAGGAACGATTTGCGTTGTTATGAATTTGAATGGATTCCATCGAACTCGAGTAGAATAATCTTGAGGGCCGTAGATTGTTCGCTTTTTCTCATTCTCCCCTAATGTTTTAGGTCCTTCACTTCAAGTCCAGATGTCAAGGTTTCTTGGATTGTCATTGGCGACGATTTCCCAAATTTTAATCCAAATTTCTATTGGCAACTTATTCCGATGATCAGATGTCTCATGTGCCGTCTTATCGGTTTTAAGTTGATTGGGTTCCTTCTTGTTGTCGTAAGGTGCAGTCAATATGTTGGAGATTGTTTTTGACAAAGTTACCAAAGTTCTTCCCGCATCGATCTCTTTCTCCTGATAAGTCTCCTGATAAGTCTGGTCTGCTTCCGTGGGTTTTCTTGTTTTTTTCTCCTCTCCCTTTCCCTTTCCCTTTCCTCTTCTTCTTCCTCTTCCTCTTCCTTTACCTTTTCCTTTTCGGTCTTCTTCCCAATCCAGTGATGAAATGTCCGAGTCCTTGGTCTGATCAGTGCTGGATTGATTGGAGTCATCGTCATTGACAAGTATCGGCTTTTCTGTAGAATTTAAAGCTTTAGTTGGTTTCGCAGCTCTACGACTTTTCCGAGCTTTATGATCTTTTGAAGATTTATAACCCCTTGGAGGAGATGAGTCGGAAGAAGCCGCCATGATGGATTGAAGTGTAGTTGACAAAGGAGGATTTTCTTGGGATGTTGTGAGTGGGATGTCTTCTTTATTCTCAACATAATGGTTTGATAGTGGATGATATTTTGACATGATAATGTCAGGGCTTTGGTGGTGCTCCCAAGGCTTTTGACTTTGAAAAGGGAATTTGAGTCGAAGACTTTGTTTATAATTGTTTAATAAGTAGCTGGAGGTATGGATAGGTATGATCGAGAATCAAGGTCAGAGCACCTAGTGTGGATTAATTCACTTGACAGAATGCAGCACCTTGACCGTACTCACATCTCACATACTGACATATTGCTCTGCCTCGAACCACATTGAATTACTTTTCTTGAATTTGGATTCATTAATCATCAATCATTACCTAGGTATACACGTAAGACCCATACTACTTTTTGGAGCATTCTTGGTAAAGATATACCAGCTATCTATGAGTGGTCAAACACGTGAGTAAAGTCTTGCTCCACAATATATCCCCAAATATATCCTCAATATGCCTAGGTGGCCCAAGGGAAAAGTTCGGCAGGACATCTTCAAACTGTCAAGGTTCCCGACCTGAACAAAGTGTTGAGATCTCAGGTTAGGTGGAGTGAAAGATGGTTACCCGATCTTAGCAAGACCAGGGAATATTTCCTCAATCATGATGGCAATAGATCTGATAACAATATCCTCAATGCGGGATCGGGGATCAAAGATGGTCAATGTTTATTCCCCACAAACAAATTCAAGTATCTTTGATATTCAATTCTTTAAACTTCAAACTTCAACCACAAACTTCCACCATTAACTTTTGCCAGCAACTACATCTCTTTCTTTCCTCACTTCCAATCATCACTTTCACGCTCTTTTATCAAGATCTTGGTTTTCATCTACCAATCTTGGCGCTCATTTCAATCCTTCTACCTCCTCTTACACTCCAACGAATTTGCGCCTTTCATTTTCTTCTCAAATTACATCCAATTCTTGGCTCTAGGTTCTTTCTCAAGGTCGCACATCTTCAAATTTGGTCAAGATGATTGACGAATCGAATTCAATCGAACAAAATTATGTCACTCAGCCTTGTTTCCCCTTCGATTTAATTTGTCGTCCTGCTCTTCACCATACTCACCATGAATTGAAAGCTCAAAATCGCATTGCTCCATCAGCTCATCACTTCCAACCTTCTCAACTTCGTCTTTCTTCTCCATTCGACCTTTCTCTCATTTCACGCCATCCTCAAAAATTGGGCTTACGTCGAATGAAAAAGAGCCACAATCTTGCTGGTCTTGCAAGAGCAGAAATCAAGTCTTACCGTGAGATTGTCATGAAAAATGATACCGATCCCTCTTTTCCGAAATTCGCAGAGTTTCCAAAAGAAATTCGTCTCAAAATTTGGGAAGAATATGCCAATAATTTAACACCAAGAGATGTACCTGTTTGGCGTCTTAGGAATCCGTTTGTTCATTCGTCCACCAGTTGTTACATCAATATCTATGATCATATCAGCAAAAGTCTTCAATTGATTCCTCTCAGTAGTGGATCGGTACGTCATTATGATTTCAAATGGGTTTGTCCACAACCAGATATTCTCTACATCAACTCTGAAGCACGAAAAGTTGGGTTGAGTATCTACACCCAAGAGAGTTTGAATGGTACCTTTTGCTCCAAGATGAATTGGGAACTGGGTTTGGAAACTGGTCCAGCAACTATCTATCGTCACATCAATGGAATGGATCGTATCATGCCAATGTATGATTTTTCCAATGGATACGAAACCTTTTGGATCGAACATGAACATCAACTCGAAGGACGGATTGCACTCAATGCTTTTCTCTATGATTTGGATCCTAATCAACCAGTTCTTTCCAGTGATACTATGTTGATGTTGATGAAGAGTTCTTCAACAGCTCGGGAAAGACGTGAACTTTATGTTAAGGAAGTCGCAAAAGCTTGGTCAGCAGTTATACCATCAACAGCTATATCACCTCCTACTAGAACACTTGGTCATTTCCATCCGTTCAATATTAAGGAGATTACAATTTACTATCGCACTGAAAGTCTCATTGGAGTTAAAGGTAAGTTCTCTTCTTCATTCGATTTCAGTTGCACATTGCTAATTTCACCCAGAATTCAAATGGACCAACATCTCCGAAAACCATCTCCACGACTACGAAGGCTACCAAGAAATGGTCAACATGAAGCGCGCTATCAAAACTGCATATCAATACTGGGAGTTACAACGTTATCGCACTTGGGTACATTTCACTAGTCACATGGATCCTCACACCACGGCTGAATTGTTAGAGGATCTCAATACGCCAGAGTTTAAGAAACAAATTGGAAAGATGAGTTATTTGTTGTTATCAATGACGAGAGATAATCCGGGATTGCAGGAAAAGTATAAGTCGAGAATGGAATATAAGATGGCGAATCCGAGGAGAAGTTGGAATGAGAGAATGGAGGAGATGTGGGAGGAGAAGGTACCGGTTTTGCCGAGGATTCAGTTTGCGGTTTGTGGGAGGAAGGAGGGGGGGTTGAAGGGAGTGGTTAGACCGCCGGGGTTTAAGTTGTAGGGTGAGATGGGATGGGATGGGATAGGATGGGAAGGCATAGGTTAGAGGTGGAGGTGGGTGCGGGTGCGGGTGGTGATGCGGGAATAAAGATGCGTGCTGAGAGCGGGAGATGGGTATTCAAGAAAGGTAGGAATGATATGTAAATTGGGAAAAGGGGAATGAAATTGGGATTTGGATGTGCTGGTTAAAAGTACTTCTTCTGGATTGAAAACATGCGCATCGAGGGTTGGAGGATGGGTGATGTTTCAAAGGGTTGGATGATACGATGGGAGAATCGATATGACAAAAGCTTGATATGACAAAAAGGATACGACAAAAATGATACGATATACGAAAATCGCACACGCTACTGTAATTACACAGAATAAAAAGAATGATAAAAGGGTTTCTTATTTTCTTCATTTTCATTTCATTTCCTTCTCCTTGTAAATTAGGAATTATCGTCTATTTTAGTAGATTGATAGTTTGAGTGTTATTTCTTGAGATTAGATTTCATTGGGTGATGTGTTTGAGGTGTGAGTAGTGAGAGAGGTGAGAGGATAGATTAGAGAATGAATCGGGATAGAATGGAATAGAATAGAATAAAATGAGAATGAGAATGAGAATAAATAAATAAATGAATGCTTATATATATCTATGATTAACCATATATCTAGATCGGGAGATTGATAGGTCGTTCGGTAGGTATCTGAATATAAAGAAATCTAACTCAGTTTTCGAATAAGACAAGCATATATACATATACCTACCTATATATCACCATTTCACAAAACTCATCTCCAACGATCTAATAATCAATGTCAATCGATATACTCATTTCATTCTCAACATTAATAACAAACTAACTACCTACCCGAGCAGAAGAATCAGAAGTGTAAAATGTAATGTTTAACCTAGGTATGAATATTTATCTTCGTTCCTCCCTAGCCTCTAAAAGAATTATAGGGGTTTTCATGATTATCGGATGGATGTTGAATTAATCAATTTATTCTAGGATTGTTATATTATATCAAAACCCCCAAGTACCTAGTACCCCAATCCGAAACCTAGTCTTACAGCTACCCAGTAACTTAGAGCCTGTTCGAATCGATTTTTTTAGACAATATTGATAACAAATATCGTCTAAATAAACATTTATCAAATACGAATACAGCTTGCCAATTTATATTAATAACAAAATTGAAAAAAATAAATTATTAAATATTAATATTCAACTATAAAAAGCTACAAAATGTAGATTAACAAATTTGAAAATTTATATAATAATTTTATCAAATTTGTAATAAAGATTCGATTAGTATTTATTAATATATTATAACTTTATATTTTATATTTTATAAACTTATAAATTTGAATCTAGATTTACAAAATATAGATTAAATTATTAATTAATAATTCTTTTAAACTTTTTTTGATAATGTATTAAAAAACGATTCGAACGGGCCCTTATTAGTAAGTCAAGTCAAACCAAACCAAGCTAGAAAATTCCAGCTGACTAATCAGAATTAAGCGAGAGACCTCATCTTTTTATTTTCGGGTGAGACCTCGTGTCTGATGTGGTAGGGCGATTTGATGAAATGATATTTGGAGGCTCGGGACTTGGGTAGGTGCCCAGGTGTTTTTAGATGAGAATTTCATGGGTATTTTCTGAGGGGGGGGATGTGTAGAGATTTCGAGATGAGAGATTTTTGGGTTTTGGGGTGATACTCGCTTGGATTCGGATGAGAGATAGGGTTCTTCTGGAGGCTGTTAGTTAATATTTTAATTTTGACAACATGGTGTTGATTGCATCGCGCACATTTAATTTCTCGATTCTGGGAGATCAGTATCGAGCTGATGATTCTCATTCTTAGCCTTTTCATTATGTAGACAGGATCCGAGAATTGCTTTGCTTCATCAACGCTTTAACTCCCCTGGTATTCTCTTCTCCGTGAAATTTGCGTTTTTAACTATCTATGTCGCTTTATTCCTCAATCTGCACAGGCTGTGGTTTTAAGTTCTGGCTTTGTTGAATAGGCGTATGAGTGTGAGTGGAGCTGAAAGTGGAAGAGTCTTTGAGAAATTTCCTGTGTCCATTTGTACGTAGCCTACAGTGATGAGAAACTTTGCCATCCCTGTGCATAAAGGTCTACCGCACATGACTCCGGTCTTTCCATTTATTCTGCAGAGCTGGCATCTATTCAAATCAATTTATCCACTGTCGTGAATTGTTTCCGTGGTCGAAGGACACAAAGATAGGCATGGACCGAAACCTGGATAGCTAGATGGTACGCAATGGAGTGTTTCTTGCAACCCAGAAAATCAAGAGCCGGGCCTTATCAGAGATTTTGTAGGAGCTGGGTAGAAGAAACAAAGGAGAATAGTGCAGATAAATAGTACTTGCGCAGTCGCAGATTCTCATTATAATTCCGCAAACGGAAGAGTCGAGTG